CTCTTCTTACCTACAACGGTCGACCTTGGAATAAAATCCGCCGATGATAATATTCCAATTCCTTTATCTGTGGCTTGCCCATAATGATTTTTATGATTTTTTTCTTGCTCCTGGAACTATGGGGTTGGTTATTTTGCCTTGCTTGTAGGATCTCACTAAGAAGTTACTTTGGTAATATTTTCAGAAGAAAAAGGAGTCTACTTGACAAACTTAAGAAGTTGTAATCGATTAATGAGAGATCTCCCTCAACAAGAACAATGAACCAGGAAAGAGTGACAAGGGAGGAGCTAGAGCATACTTTGTGGGAAGAGGAGCTCCTATGGAGACATAAATTGAGGCTAACTGGGTGTTGTAGGGTGATCGACATACGAGATTTTTTTACACCACTACTCTTAATCGAAAGAAGAGGAATCACATCATAAGGATGAAAGATGAGAATGGACCATGGATCTTAGATCCATATCCCCTTTTTATGCTTGCTAAAAAGTTGTTTATTAAGTTATTCATTCACCATAGAGGTGAAAGATTCCATATCTTATTACTCTGCTGCTGATTTTCCTTCTTTTTTCTTATCAATGCTTTGCTTGGATAGGGGCTACTCCATCTATGGAGGAGATTAGGGAGATTGTGATGAAGATGGGAGGATTGAAAGAACCGAGTTCTGGCAGTTTCCATTCCATCTTTTACCAGAAGTCGTGGGATGTTATGGGAATGGATTTCTCTAACTTCATTGCTACTTGATTCATGAATACTAATTGCATTAGACTTGTGAATACTACACTGCTGGCTATGCTTTCAAAAAATGAGTCGCAAGTGTCTATGTCTCAATTTCGTTCAATTAGTCGTAATGTGGGGTATAAAATACTTTCCAAGTGTGTTACAAATATATTGAAAAGCCTAATGCCCTGACTTATTCATCCTAGTCAAGCTAGTTTTGTTTATGAGAGGCATATCACTGACAATATTCTGATTTTGCAGGAGAAGGTTCATTCAAAGTCATTGAAATCAAGGAAGAAAGGAGTTATGATACTTAAGGTGGACCTAGAGAAAGCTTATATTCGCATTGACTGGGATTTTTTGGAAGACTCTTTAAAGCATGCTAACCTTCTAGATGAATATGTTTGTTTGATCATGGGTTGTGTCACTTTATCACAATTTCAAAACCTTTGGAATTGAGGCACTACAAAGGGCTTCAAACCGAGCCGCAAGCTTCAATGGGTAAAATCGTAAATCGTAGAATCAAAACATAAAAGCGTAAGCTTTTTACGCATACTATAAAATAACTACAAATCTATTAAGTACGACATATACTATGTAAAATATGAGTGCACATAATTTAGATAAGTTAATAAATAACTGCAATTCATATTTAAAATAGAGCAACTCGTAGTATCTTTACACTAAGTTCATAAATATAGATCTTAACAATAAGCCACCAATTTGGGAAGGGCTTAGCTGGTGAATTAGACTACTTTATTGAAGCCAAGAATGCATCCAAGCTAAGTACCTGGTATTTATCTTTTAATATCAAATGTATCATATTTTTGGTGATTTACCTTTAAAACATACTTTTTATAATTAATTTCATGAAAAGAATACCTATTTAGTGAACTAGAAGCGTAAAAGCATAACCTTTTAAGCTTTAAAGCGTCATTTAGTTTGATTTTATATACTAAAGATTTTATATGGAAACAAAAGCGTTTTGGTGAGCTAGAAGCGTAAAATATAAAGCTTTTAAGTTTTAAAATGCGAGTTTGACTTCATTGCCCTAGGTACGTACAATCTATTTTGAGAGAAGATGGACCATAACCTTTTAGCAAGGAAAGCGAAAAACTTTGTCCTTAGCAGGTAGGGTTATGCTTGCTACGGTTTTTCTTAATGCGATCCCTTCTTATGCAATGCATACTTATCCTCTCTCTCTATCAGTTGTGAAGAGATTGATAGGAACAAGGACATCAAATATGGGATAATCTGTTGCAATTTGTGGAAGCAATGAAACGAGAAAGTAATGGAAGGAAGTACTTTTTCTCATGAATCCCTCATCTGTCGGATCGAAGCTTGGTTGAACATTGTAGATCAGGCATATGTTCGTGAACAGAAAAGTACTACATGCGATGACCACAATCAGACTAATTGAGATCTCTCATGGAATCCTACCCCGGAAGGATGGGCTTAAGTTCAAACCGACAGATCGGTTTTGACGAGTTCAGGAAAGGTTGCTGCTGTAGGTGTCATACGAGACCATCTTGGACATTGTCAAGCAGCCTTCACGCGCAACCTGCGATCTTGTTCAATGACTAGTGCTGAGCTTAAGGGCGGGACAGAAGGAATAAATTTGGCATGGAGGAAGGGATAACGGAATTAGGCATTTGTTATTTTTGGATTGGGAGGTTAAGATATCCCATGTATATAGGGAAGACAATTTAAACTGCTGATGTTATGGCTGGAAAAGGTCATGACTCTCTTTTTGGCACACATTGTTTCGATGTTTGTGACCTAGATTTTACATTTAGGCTATCTATGAGAGCATGAGTATCACCTAACAATGTTATTTTTATAATATGAGATTATGAGCTAAAGAGGATTTTTGCGTATGTCTTTCTAAAACAAAAATTAAATTAGACACTTGGGTGAGACGGGGTTGATAACCCTTCAATCTGTCATTATTCATTGTTTTTTGTTCGTCTAAGTCACAAATTGTTAGGTAAAAAAAGAATTATAGCCCACTTGAATCACACATAACTTTTCCGGTATATCAAACTATCGTTTGCCCGAATTAATCAGTACGAAGTACCGTTTGTTTCAATTTACAAAATTTAGATTTTTTTAGAATATCAAGAGAAATATGAAATAAATCAAATTAAAATTGGACAAAATCGGACTATATATAACCTTATTTGTCCCCAAACAGTAACAAAGACTTTATAGGGTGAATCATTCTTAGTGTATGCCTACCTATAGTGACTTGCAAGTCACCGTAACTTGGAGAAAATGGGCAACCTTTTAAATTAAGTGGTCGACCACTTTAAAAAAAAATGGTTGACCTCTTCCACCAAGCGGTCTACCACTTGAGTCAACCGGTCCACCACTTCTGGAAATAAGTCGACCTGATGACACATTTACTTTCAAGTTTTCGACCTCTTCAACCAAATGGTCGACCAATTTCCAAGAAAATGGTCTACCACTTCCACCAAGTATCCATCACTTGAGTCAACTGGTCTACCGCTTCCGAAAATGGGTCGACCTGAAGACACACTTACCTTCAAATAGTTGACCTCTTTCGCCAAGTGTTCGACCAATTTTTAAGAAAATTATATACCACTTCCACCTAGTGTCTAATACTTGAGGCAACCGGTCACGAGGCAATGATAGGATAAAAAACAAGCAAACCTAGAATTTGAAGGAAAGATGAAAGTCTCTATAAAGTAAGTCAAATATAGGAAATAACTATGTAGAACATTTTCCAAATCTACTGGAGAACAATGACTCGAGAAACTTGTCATTTATGCTTGTAGCCTTTGTACTAATTTTAAATCTCTTAATAACAAGCATATCTATTATTATTGGACTTTAATTATATGGTTATATCACTAGCAATGGTTCATCAGGTCGACCAATTACTGAAAGCAGTAGACGGCTTGGTGAAAGAGGTAGACCACTTGATGGAAGTGGTAAACCGTTTTCTTGTAAATTGGTCAACCTTTTAGTAGAAGTGGTCGACCGTTTGTTGAACATAGCAAAATGGAAACTAGTACATCTGGTCGACCATTCCAGCAAAAAGGTCAACCAATTTTTCAAAATAGATCGACCATATCAGTGAATAGGTCGAACGTTTTGTCCAAATAATAGTGACTTGCAAGTCAACGTAGCAAAGTTCTCATTCTTATTGCGGATCTATAAGAAAATTGAGCCTGAATTATGAGGGTTTATTTTCGAAATTGCTAAACCATTTCTATGGTATTCCTTATGATTTTCGAGATTTGCTAATCAAGCCCTACTTTGCTCAATAAAAATGTCTAAGCACCTATTTGGTCTGAAATTAATCCATAATGACACTATTATTTCTCACCTCATAGAATCACCTATATAAAAACGTAGACAACTTACTAACACAATTCTCAAGTATGCCTAGGGCTTCAAATATGGAGAGGTACTCACCTTTGGCTTGAAAAATTTTGTTGGACACTCAGCTCGTTTAGCAACTAGTTGAGTTTGAACTAAACCTTTTCCACTTATGAAGCTCGTGAGGCAGCTTGACTCGATAGCTTGTTGAGGTTAACTCGTGAGCTAGGTATTATGAACTCATAGCTTAATATTTTGCCTAGCAAGCCAACTCGACTAGCGACTTATGAGCAATTCGATATTAGCTTATGAGTTAGCTTGTTTTAAGTTGTTATATATCTCACGAAATTATGTCTCACATATAATTTAAAAAGAAATTATGAATTAGAATGTGTACTAATATATCTCACATATAATTGAAAATAGAAATTATGTATTAGATAGGCTAGATACTATGAACTATGTGGTATTATCTAATTAAAAGTTATGAGCTAAATAATATGATATCAATAAAGTATATAAACACATGATCAATTAATAATGAAAATGGGCTATTAATATTTTTTTTTATCATGACACATTACTAACATGTATTATATAGTGTATAAATATTATATGTCATTTGGATTTAATATTTATCAAATCTGTTATTTGGAGTTAATTACCACACAAATGTAACATGACATAATACATGTTATTTTCTATACATGTGATATTTGGATGATATATCACGTATGGATTGTTCATAAGTAGTGATATTTCAAATGTGGTATTTGCACTCAAATTTATTATTTTAATAATTACCACTTCTTAAATCCATCCCTTTTTTTGTTTTTTTTTCCGGTAATTATTCTTCCCATTAAGCTCACTTGATTAATTTGATCAAGTCGCATAAAATTTCAGATATACATCTTACAATGAAACTAGCCGAGATCTTAAAAGTGTAATTGTAAGTTTCTAAAAATACTACTCTGTTGCAAAGCTGCATGAAATCAGTCATCACCAATTGCCAACAGCTTAATCTCCTTCTGCAATTGCGCGAAGATCACATCCCATGGTTTAGCCTGTTCTCCAAATACACGTCTACAACGTTCTTTCCAAACCAAACTGTATTCAGCACCAGACAACACTAGTAACAAGTCCTTCTTTACCTTTTTCGCCAGTATACACAGCTCCTGCAACAGCTGCTCCTAATATGTTTTCCAGCTACGAAAGAGATATCCAAACACTTCTGCAAATAGACTACCATCATACCACATTCACAAAACAAATGATATCTACTTTCCTCGTCCCTAGCACACATCACACACGCTGCATATGAAAATTTTCCCCAAGCTTTAAGCTTATCCCTCGTTACAATACGATTCAGAATGATCAGCCACACTATGACCCTGTTTCTTGGAAGAGTGAACCTGCCCCAAATAAGTTGCCACCAGGGAACTGATGGTTTGTGAACTCTAATCGATTCCCAGACCTGCTGCACTGAAAAATTTCTCATAACCTTGCCTTCCCAAAGTACATTCTTTTGGTTGTCAACCATCATCCTATATTGGAACCATCCTCTTAGCTTTAGCAACTGTCGCCAAAGCCAAGAGTCTGTCATAGTAGGCTTTAGCTCCCAAATAGATCGAGCTTTGAGCCTGTAGCGCCTTATCCACGCCACCCAAAAACTCCACCCCCTGCAGAAACAACAGACATAGGAGACAAGCGATACAAGCCACGTTCCAAGTACGAAGGTCCCTTAATCCCAAACCTCCCTCTTTCTTTGGCACAACTAGTAGATCCCAGTCAACTTTTGTTTTCCCCGTGCATTCTCCAAACCATAAGAAGTCTGAGCAGATCTTTTGAATAAGCTCAATGACCTTCTTACGCAGAACAAAAATGGTCATCCAATACTGGCAGAGAGAGTACAAGCCAGAGGAAACAAGTTGGAGTCGTCCTGCATATGACAATTTACCAGCTCTCCAACCTCTGATCCGACTAGTCAACCGATCTACCAAGACTTCACATTCCCTGCTAGTGAAATTGCCAGACACCAAAGGTAACCCCAGATATCTAACAACTTTAATTTGGTGGACCGACCAAACTATTTATTTTGTTCGCCGTGATCTACCTAATCTAGACGACTGAGTTCTGATCTTCTTTGGATAGCATATAGTATTCTCTCTAAACTAGTGATGACAATTTGAACCCGTCTCGCTGGATATTACCTGACCTGGTCATAAGGAGAATGAATATAACTTGGGTTACTCATCGAATTTGCTGCTTGTGGTACTAGGCCAAGCCCAAAGGCCAATACCCTTGTGGCCTGGTTAGATGTAAGATAAAAAAAAAATATATAGCAAGTTAAGTTATCAAATGAAAAAGCGCAAGTGTAGGAGTCATTTGTGTAAGAACGCATTTGTGTTGGTCGTTAGTTACGGCTGAAGACCTGTTCTCCCATTTTCCCCCCTTCATTTCCCCACAGCCCCACCAAAAAAGCAGCTAGCTTGTGCCCATATCCCCACCCCTCTCTTTCTACCAATCTACTTGTTCTTGTTTGACAATCTCGTATCTTTTGCCAATTTGCTCATTACTTGATAGATAACCAAGCGCCTCCTTCATCAATAATCAATCATGGATGAAGAGTACGATGTGATCGTTCTTGGGACTGGTCTTAAGGAATGCATCCTCAGCGGCCTTCTCTCTGTTAATGGCCTAAAGGTCAGTTATTACGTTGCTAGTTCAAGCAACACCTTTCCGAAAAATGTATACGATTCAAAGCACGTTGATCTGGTTCTTACGCAAAAATGTGTGAATTAGGTGTTATGACTCTTTAGATACCACGAAATTTTTCCAAATATTATTATTATTATTATCATTATTATTTTGTTAGACCTCGGTTGCCAATGTGATATGAAGAGCAAGTATTGTGTCTATCGACAGGTTTTGCACATGGATCGAAATGATTATTACGGGGGTGCTTCGACTTCACTTAACCTTAACCAGGTGATAGTTTCCTTCTTGTCTCCTGTCATTGCTTATTCCACTAATTCATCAAATCCTCTGTACGTTGGTACACCAGTTTAATCATTGATTAATTGTCTCCTTCAATTTTTGTGTTCTCTCCATTGATAGCTTTGGAAGCGATTCAGAGAAAACGACACGCCTCCAGAGAGCCTGGGAGCAAGCAAGGAGTACAACGTTGATATGGTACCTAAGGTAATTAATGTCTGATTTCACTTAATTGATTAATTAATGGTTCACCAACATGCATGGTTTTAACACCAACTGATCTTATGTCATATGTATATATGTTGCAGTTCATTATTGCCAACGGCAATTTGGTTCGAGTTTTGATCCATACAGGTGTTACCAAGTACCTGAACTTCAAAGCTGTTGATGGCAGCTACGTGTACAATAAGAACAAGGTCTGATTATTACATCTTCTTCTTCTTCTTCTTCTTCTTCTTCTTCCAGTTTCAGATGCCTATACGTAACACTTGTGACAAATGATTATTACTACGTACTTGGGTCTTTCAGATCCACAAAGTTCCAGCAAACGATGTGGAGGCGCTGAAATCGCCATTGATGGGGCTTTTCGAGAAGCGTCGAGCTCGAAAGTTCTTCATCTATGTCCAGGATTACGAGGACAGCGATCCTAAATCCCACGAGGGTCTGGATCTGACCAAAGTTACTGCCAGAGAAATTATCTCGTAAGCAGCACGCACGTTTTTTTGCAAAATTGATTTGCATTGTGTTCCTTTCCTTCCACTATACACATTATTAATTCTTATTACCCACGGGAACTTAGATACCAAAATGGAAAGGATCTTTAAACAAATTAAGCATTGCAATGTGGTTTGTTACTAAGATTTGATTTCGTGTTAGATCGGATCATTATTTGTGTTGCTACTAAGATTTGGTCATATTATAAAATTTGCAGAAAATATGGGTTGGAAGATGATACAATCGACTTCATTGGGCATGCATTGGCGCTCTATCACGATGACAGCTACTTGGACCAACCCGCTCTTAATTTTGTAAAGAGAATAAAGGTGAAACTCTATTGACTTGTGATATGACGGATAAGAAAGCCCATAAATTTGCACAAAAATCATTCAAGATTTTACTCTGATTTGAATGATTTAGCATTTAGAAATTTATGGTTAGAATTTAAAATTGAAACCTTAAGGTTTAGGATAATTTATTGATTAGTAGTTATTTTATTTTATATACTAATATTAGACCAATGTTATCAATTAAAATTCAAAATTTGATGTTGTTGGGACAGCTTTATGCGGAATCTTTGGCACGTTTTCAAGGAGGGTCGCCCTACATCTACCCACTCTACGGATTAGGCGAGCTGCCTCAGGTAAAGAATGTTATCCCATCCAAATTAATAAATTTGATTTGTGGCTAATCAAATACTTAAGACGGCAGGGAAAACATGCATGGAGCCAGATAATTAAGATTGTTCGTTTCTTGACAGGCATTTGCACGCTTAAGTGCAGTTTATGGTGGGACGTATATGCTTAACAAGCCAGACTGCAAGGTGATTACACTTACATTACATTCATAATCAAGATTAGTTGAGAATAATTAATTATATACGTAATGAAATGATTCACGGCAGGTGGAGTTTGATGAAAGCGGGAAAGCAATTGGAGTCACTTCCGAGGGAGAGACTGCCAAATGCAAGAAAGTTGTGTGTGACCCTTCTTATCTCTCTGATAAGGTAATATACCTACTAATGTACTATTTCATTTGTTGGCTATCCTTAATTAATTACCCTTTAATCTATTTTGTTCTTATCTTAAATTTAATTAAATGAACAGGTTAAAAAGGTTGGCAGAGTTGCTCGTGCTATATGCATAATGAGTCATCCCATCCCAAACACACATGACTCTCATTCTGTCCAGCTTATCCTTCCTCAGAAGCAACTTGGTCGTAAATCAGATATGTAAGGCGCCACACTCGTTGTATCTTAATATCCCTTATAATTTGTATTATAAATGTATTTTATAAATTCTTCAAAATATGAAAACATATTTTGAAATTTAACGTTATATTTTTTCCACGTTGGACCTAACTTAGATGAATTATTGGCTACGCGCCCACTGCATGCAGGTATCTGTTTTGTTGCTCTTATGCACACAACGTGGCAGCAAAAGGGAAGTACATTGCCTCAGTTTCAACTGAGGCAGAGACTGATAATCCTGAGGCGGAATTGAAGCCGGGCGTCGACCTTCTTGGGCCTTTAGATGAGATCTTCTACGACAGCTACGATAGATATGTCCCTACAAACAGCACTGAAGAGGATAATTGCTTCGTATCCACTGTAATTAAAGCCTCTACTAATTGACATACCTATCTTCCTTAATTCCTTTTGGCCAAGATAAAAAAAATGGCCATTTTAACCATATGAATTCATCCATGTGCAGAGTTACGATGCAACCTCACACTTTGAGACGACAGTAGACGATGTGATTGAGATGTACAGTAAGATCACTGGAAAGGTAATGTTCGATTTAATTTATGTGAAAAGATAGCTAGCTAGTATTTTCGTATGTTTTATAATATCTCTTATACCATTTATCGGTGTTGTGATGTGTGTTGAAATATTGGAACAGGAGCTCGATCTGTCCGTCGACTTGAATGATGCAAGTGCTGCCGGTGATGAGTAAAACTTATAAACATAATTTTTCCTAATATCTATTTTGCCCTTTTTTAAAAAAGAAATTTTCATTTCCATTGGGCAGAAAAATGTGGATTCTCTGGGGTTTTTTTTGTTGAACATTCTCTGGTTTTGGTTGAGTGAGAGACTATTTTATTATTCAATATATTGCTCTACTAATGTAGTTTTTTCTAATCAACTTTGGATACATATAATTGTTCAATACTTCAATTCAAAGAATTATGATATTTTTTTTCCTTACCGTTGTTACGTTGATTGTTGACTTCAAGATCTTTCAGTTAGTGAGCATATAATTTAGTCTTTAAGAATTGGGTTAGCTCATGGATGCCATTGTCAATTTCCTAAACCAACGTCCAATACTATCCATCTATAAGTTGAAAACATTCAGCATACTCAAAGATGAGATGATATTCAACTTACAAAGGGCGATAATTATCATGTGTCTCTAAACTTGCCATATTAATTCATGTTTACCATTAAACTGATTTTTAATTCAATTAAACCACTAAACTTACTTTAAAAGCTCACTGTCCATCACTTCCGTTACAACTTAACGGAAACCATCTTAACGATGCCGACAAAGCACTAACGATGATGACGTGACAACACCTAATCCCTATTTATCCACATTAGCAGTTCTATACCTTAACCAAACTCTACCCAAAAAAGAAAAAATTTGGAACCCTAATTGTTTCTCCCAATTATTCCATACCCCCGCTGTCCATCTTCCCCAAAAGCTGTTGTTCATCTTCCCCAAAAGCCACGTACAGAAATATAAAAATCCAAGCTTCTCGTTTGAAAACTCCAATTCGTGCCAACACCATAATGGCACTATGAGCAAATATAGAGGACAACGAGAGATCATGACAGTGTCGACATTTCAGTCATGGTATTATACCAATCATTGCTCTTACTGATCTCTGATGGGATCGTTTCTTGAGAAAGTGAATAATAGAGAGATGAGTATAACAATACTAAGCGAGCATACAGTATTCCGCGAGGAAGAGTTCAGGCAAAATATAACTAGTAGGACAACTAAAATTGACTCAATAAGAGTATCAGAGATGATGTCACAATCCAATTAGAAATATATGATCAGAAAAGCCGTGTATGCTTAAATGGCGTATAGGTTTATAATGGCGCCACTCAGCTGCATCTACTCGCATCCATCCATGGGTATAAGGCTGACTCCAATGCAGCCTGCATTTATGGAGTTCTCGCCATTAATGGCGTTTTGGAGCTCCAACGCAGAGACGAAAAATGGCGAAAATCGGCATTTATGGAGGGCATCGGCATCTGGGTCGCTAAATATGGGAGAGGGAATGCCGAGGTCGGCATTTATGGGGAATGGAAGAATTGTTGGCACGCGCGCAATTAATGTGATTAATGGTAGGAAAGGTGTAATTAGTTGCTTGCTAATTAATGTGATTAATTAAGGGAAGAAAGGAAATTGTTTATTGGATTAATTAATGTAATTAATGCAATTTTTGGAGATCCAACGCAGGAGCTTTTTTTTGTTAATTATTTATTAGTTATTTAAGGAAATTGATTAAGGGAATGAAATGTAATTAATTAGGGAAAAGGGAATTAATGTTTGTATTTAGGTTTTTTAGATTGTATTTAATTTGTGTTTAATATTTTTGTATTTAGGCTTTTTTTCTAAGATGACTTAAATTGAATTCATTTTATTTAAAATTTATGTTTATCATCTTTAAGTTATGTGTAAACAAAAATTAGATCGAACTAAGAATGGAAATTATATTATTGAAATGAAAATGCGTTCGTAAATTACAAAATAAATTGTCACCAACTACAATTTTAATTGAATTACAAAGCATCCCAGCATCGATACCAAGCAACAACAATAACTAATTATTTCCATGCAAGTTCCAAATATGTTCGACCAAGTCCCGACGAAGCCCATGATGTGTTGGTGCAGCACGAAGCCTATTATTCCTAGCTAAGTACTTAGTTAGGGTTGGAATATCTCTATCGACATTAGTTGGTTGTTGGTCGTGGACCTCATAATCAAGATTATCTTCCATCTCATCGTCAGAATCAACCTGCTCATCCTCGATTATCATGTTGTGCAATATAATGCATGTCAACATTATATCATTAATTGTTGCAACATCCCAAGATCTTGCAGGGCCACGAACGATTGCCCATCTAGCTTGAAGAATTCCAAAGGCCCGCTCTACGTCTTTCCAATGTGCTTCTTGACATCGAGCAAACAAGGCTTCTTTGTTTGAGCTTGGATTGCTGAATGTTTTCACTAAAGTTGACCACGAAGGATAAATACCATCAGCCAAATAATAACATTGATCATAGGTATGACCGTTTACCTCAAATCGTACTCGTGGGGTGGATCCGTTGAGGACACCGTCAAACACTGGAGACATCCCCAGAACATTGATGTCGTTATTCGAACCAGGCGGGCTGAAGAAAGCATGCCATATCGAGACGAAGAAACTCCACCATTCGTCGGAGAAACTCCATCGTTCGTCGAAGAAACTCCACCATTTGTCATATCTCGCCCTGCTGGACGCGACAAACAAAAGGCAGCTAAGAAGAAAGGAAAGGGGGTTGTCGAGTCATCAGAGAGCTACACTGCTCAATTGCTGGAGTATGGAAGTGAGTTGAAGGAGAGGCATGCTTTGAGGACTGAGTATGAGCGTAGAAGGATGGAATTCCAAGAACAAAAATCAAAGCGTGACCAAGAAAAGTGGGAAGTTGAGAAAAAAGAGAGGGAAGCAGCATTATTTCGGAACAATCTTGATCTTATTGAAAAGGACTTGTCGAAGTTGACACCAAGAAAGAGGAAGTTTTACAAAAATCATCAAAACATGCTCCTAGGGTATGATCAAGATGATCCCAACTCTGTTCCCGACTATTCATCCAACGCAAGTCAAAGTGGAGGTGGAGATGGAAATGGAGGAGGAGATGAAGGTGGAGGAGATTACGGGAATTACTATTCCCTTCTGGGTGATTATTGACATGTTATGTGTTTCTTTTTAATCATTTCAAGTGTTGTGTGTTATTTTTAAACTTTATGATTAGCAAGTGTTGTGTGTAATATTTAAGCTTTATGATTAGCAAGTGTTGTGTGTAACCTATGAATTGTACCATTTGAATTATTATGTCAACTCATTAAGCTTTATCATTTTTAAGTGTTGTGTGTAAACCCAAATTAGGTCCATAATTTTTCACTAAAAAAAATTCGGTCTCGAAATTTAACAAAATTCTATCGAAAAATTTGTATTTAAAAATGATGACGAACTATACAAAAATTAACATGAATAAATTATATTAAAGTTTCGATAAGTACATTTTTAAATAAATGAAAAAACTGGAAATATTAAGAACCCCAAATATGGAGTTTGTTGCATTGGAGCAAAAGAAGGGAAAATGGGGTTCAATCCCCAAATTTGGAGTTCAAGGCCCCCAAATTTGGAGTTTTGCATTGGACTTGGCCTAAGGAATAGAGACCAAAGCATAATTTTTGGTATATAAAAGCCACAGTTTTGGGTACTGTTCATTAGTGCGCACTACAGGAAAATGGACATATACAAGCGGTTTCCAAGTAGCGGGTTTCACCCCCGCTGCCACAAAAAATCCTCCGGCCCAATAGATACGATTGAAGCAGCGGTTCATCAAACCGCTCCATAGCTGATGGCGGGAACTCTGCGCGGGCCTTGTTCTTTTTTGGGTTTTGGGGGTAATTTAAATATTAAATTTTAATTTGGCAAAAATCTGCGCGGGTTAGCCTCTTGGCCTCCTCCGAAAGGGAACAATCCCCAATTTCATTATCAATCGAGCTCTCACAACTACCAGAACTCACTCTGCCGATCAGACCTCCTTGTCAATTCGCTCAAGCCGCCGGACCTCTTGCTCGTCGGACCTCCCGCTCGCTAAACCTCTTGCTCGCCGGACCTCCCGATCGCTGGCTGGACTTCCCGCTCAGTCCGCTGCCAGAACTCAGCCCGCCGCCAGTGACGATCTCCGTTCGATTTTGTGTATTTAGCAGGATTCCGCAACTCCGATTCACCCTGGACCTGCAATTACTCTGCAGCTAGGTACGTGATTGCTTTACCACCTAATAAATCAGAGGTTTCAGTACTCAGTCCGCCGCCAGTGACGATCTCCGTTCGATTTTGTATTTAGCAGGATGCTGCAACTCCGATTCAGCCTCGACCTGCAATTACTCTGCAGCTAGGTACGTGATTGCTTTACCATCTAATAAATCAAAAGTTTCAGAACTCATAATCGATTAATCCATCTAACAGCTAGGTGCAAGTCTCTTGTAGCTTAATTGAGTGTTGATTTTTGTTCTCCGTATATGAAAAGCTCAATTTAGGGTACCAGTTCCTATAGGACACTTCTCTCCTGTTTCTAAAATCCCTCTATCAAAACGTGTAGTAATCAGCAGGTATAGTGTTATCTTGCCTTTTTGTGCCTTTAGTCTATTCTAGGCCTCCATTTAAGCGATCCACAAAAGGTTGAGGGAATTGTAATACAATGGTATAATAATCAAGATAAATATCCAACTGGTTAGGGTAAGGCCAGGGTAATATGATAGTCAGGAGAATTGGTGTGGAGAAACAGGTTGGCTTTAGCATCTTGGCCATCTTTTCACAATGTGTAGGTAGTACTAAGGTAGTCTAATGGCCGAGCTGAACATAAAAACTGAAGAAGGAAAAGCCAGGGGAATTTTTTGAACCTTGTTATGATGGTCTGGTATGCTTCGGGATTTTGGTCATCTTTTTTCGATGTTGAATTGGTGGATCAAATTGGGTTTGAAAACTTGTGGCAACTGACAGAGTTCATTATCTGAAAATCAACACTCAATTACTCTATTTTAATGGAGGCATCTTTGCTTTCTTATTATCTACTACTGCCTTCTCTCTAGCATGATTGCTGTCAAACATCTTGTAAATCAACTGTGTACTCTGAGTTGCTTGTAATTACTTGTACCCTCACAGCTGAAATAAACACAGCTAATGCAAGCCAACTAAAGACACATCACACATCGGGAAGAAAGAGCTTTGCTGTTGTGACTGATGAAACTGTATAGTAACTTCAGTTGTATCCTTTTTCTTTATTAACTAAAGTACTTGTGAGAAGTGCGTATAATATTGATATGTTTACATTTGTATTCATAGGAAAAGGCCACTGGAAAAGCGCCAGATCGCTTGGAATTGTTTAGGCTGACCCATAAGAGACCCAATGAGCACGTACAGGCAATATTGGTAAGTAGGCTGACTTGTTCCTTGTTTAATTATGTGTCAATTCAATCACAACTTGTTTTGTTGTGCTACATTGCGGAACATAGACTGAACTGATTCCTTGATTGAATGGTTCTTTAAAGCCTATACAAATGAATGCTTAAATTAGTAATAGAAACTTTCACTTATGGTTTCGCTTAAAAGACAAGGGTTTAGCTTCTAGGCTTGCATGATTAGGTTCTGCCAATTTGTTCCTTCATGCTTACTATGTCAAAGAGAATGTACAAGAAGTCATGAGTTTGTGGTGGATTTATCATATTTGAACCTTCTGAAAGGCAGCCTTTAAATCGAGCTGTTGCTTTTGTTTGTGATCATTAGATGATGAAGTTCCGGTTTGTTTCTATGTTGTTCTAATATGGATACGATCTCTCCTTGTAGGAAAAAGCAGATACTCTTATATCTCAGGGCATAACTAACGGTGAGCAGGTGTTTCGGGAAGTGTTTTCTAAAGAGCATGGATGGCGTGTTCGAGGTGCTGGATTTGGTCCAACTCCAACAATCTTTTATGGACCTTCGTTTCCTGGATGTGCTGACTCTACAACTTCTGATATGAGTACTGGCTCATCCACCGATCATAGAGTGCTTTCTTTAGAGAGGAAGGTAGAGGAATTGCAGAAACAAGTTGCTGCTTTCACAGATAGGAGGCCAGAAAGCTCTGCTAGTGTGGATGTTGTTAACATTGAGGTAGGCAGCTATAGTATATCCTATATATGCTAGTCAAGTGTATGGTGGAATCTCAATTTTACTTATTAAATGTTTGCATCTTGTCAAATCTGTTTGAACAGGTTGGAAATCATGGTTCTAGCTAGAATGAGTTCATCGACTGATAGCCTTAATTCCACAACTTAGAGAATCATGCCGTGCAGTCATAATGTCGGTCGCTTCAGTAGTAGATATTTTGAGATGAAGTTTTAGGTCATTTTGTGTTTCGGGTTCAAACCGTACATCAACATATGGCTACTTGGATATTTTAGGAATTGTTACAAGGGTACAGAATCTTTTGGAACTTATATATTTTGAAAATTCTATACATCATCTATATATATTATAGTTTGGTTCAACATTATTGAAATATTATGTGTTGTGATTGTTTACAGGTGTATAATCTACTTTAAAGTATGTTTTCTGGTTAATTTGTTGTGTGTGATTGCTCTGAACCAATTATATGTATATCAAGCTGAATAAACCCCTGCAAGCAAGCATGATAATTAAATTTGGGCCCAAAAAAATAGTGTAGCGGTTTAACCGCTGCAGGATGCCGCAGCAAGAAACCCACCAAAGAAGTCTTCGCGCCAAAGAAGCAGCAGCGGTTTTAACCGAAGCAGAACCCGCCACGAAATCCTCATGATCCCCCGACGTCGGGACCCCAAAGAAGCGGCCAAAACCGCTGCATACCTTACCCCGGCGGCTACTCAAACCGCTGCAGACACTTTGCTGACGGCCGTTACAGAAGCGGCTCTATTGCGGTTATGCCCACCGCTGCAAAATCATTCCTAGCGGTGATAACCGCTGCCTAAGATTAAAATAACCGCTGCTGTATTCATTTTTTCCTGTAGTGACGGTTACCATCTGCGAGTGGGCTTCTTCCACCCGTTTCCACCTGAATGGGCCACGTTGGTCTATTTCCTTACTCACAGAGACACTTGGAACGCCTCAATACCCAACGCGCCATGTGCGAACCAGAGGTTCTGGGTTTTGCCCATCGGACAACCGGGTTCCTCCCCTGCAGCTGCCTGTCGTTCGCTTCTCCTCTCTAACACGCAGAGCCCTTTCTTACGTCCCGTCTCCTCAACACCGGCACAGGCGCCCGAAAGTCCCTGGTCATACGCCGATGCACGCCAACCAGAACGCTCCAACTCCCGATTCCTCCTCGGAAATCGCTATGGGTCATTCGTTCTTCTTTGCTTGGAAGACTCCTTTTCACACACGCAGCCCATCCCTCCCACAGCTTTTACTCCCACCGCGAAAGTTATTCGGCGGAATTCAACCTCCAGCCGAGTCCCAAACTCCCAGGTACGCTGCTGCGTTACTTTCCAGTGGCCCAACCCCTTTCCAATTGCAGCTCTCTAACCCTAGATCTTGAAATCGCAGCGATGCCCCACAAAGCTACACGACGGTCCAACCATGTCGGTGCTCCGCCGTCTCCGGGAATGCAAGAACCGCCGCCCTCTACGCCGAAACCTGCACGGCAGACAACGAATCGCGGTTCTGCGTCGACTTCCAAAACTCCCAAAGCCCTCGAACGCCGCAGCCACGTCCCGCCTCCTGCTGCACAAGAAACTCAGCCGCCGCCGCCGCGATGGAATGGTTACAAGCTATAGGTAACTCTTCATTTACTTTTGTTGCTTGGAATCCATTCACCCTGCTTTTGCCATTGCTGAACTCCTTTTGTGGCATTTTCGGTTGAATCCCAATCTCAAACTCATCTCTCTCTTCCACCCTAGAATCTCATGTTTCGCAGCATACTCTATACGGCAGAATCCCAAGTCACGCTTTCCTCTCCTGCTGTCGAAGAAGAACGAGAAGAGGAATCACAGGTCTCAATCTCTCACTCTATCCTACTGTTGGAGAATGAAAAAAAAGGAGAATCATTGGAAAAGAGAAAGAAGATGAAGATGTTGACGGCTTCGAGCGCGAGAAGCCTGTACCTGATGAAGAACTTCCTTCTTCTTTTGACCTGAAAAACCTAAATCGACTTTGACCAAGTACAGGTGAGAAACAACAACGAGATGCAGAGAAGGTATTCAAAACAATGAGATCAAACAGTGTAATTAGAATTGGGCTATCTCCGTAATTGGGCTAGAACCCTCAAGCCCAATCAGTTTAATCTTCTGCTCCAAAAGAGTTAAAACGATGGGGTTGCTCTGCTCAAAACTGTGTGTTTCAGAACACGGGCTTCTCCTCCTTGCTCGTGTTCCTTTCAGACGATCCCCTGTTTCAACTAAACACTCAACCAAACACACACTTAGCAACAACAGAGCAGAAACAGAGTAAAGTTCTTCACACGCTGTCAGAACTTGAAGAAGAAAAGGACACGGTCAGTTTTTACGTGGTTTCCAGAGCTGGGTCAATTGATTCCCAACTCTGACTAGTCCACGGTCGGAAGATCACGATGATGTGATTTCCGACGCTTCACTAAGCTTGTAGATAGTCTCGGTTACAAGTTTTACAGCTCCGAAATCACTCAGCCCAATCCAAGACTGATGATTGAATCAATCTACTTCCTGATATACGACTAGCACTCCTGCTACTGTGTTTCTCTCAACACACCACTCACCCAAGTTCTCTCCAGAAGTTGGATTACCCTTGCTTTTCTTATCACTCACACTTGCTAAAGCTAAGCACTCCCTGTATGAATGATCACCCGAAAAGTAACTATCTTCTTGTTCTCTTTGGCCTTTTATTCAGCAATCACAGAACCGTTGCTCTTTCTTTCCTTTTCTTCCTTGAATAGGTTTATGGTAAGAACTTGAATACTTTCCTTCTTGATTTCTTCAGACCGTTCCTGGTTTCTTGTACTTCAAGGAACATGCGCTTGGTTCAGCCTCATTTGACAAGCTGCTTCCAACATTCTCCCCCTCAGCTTGTCAATGATTCTTTCCTCTGTGACTGAGGTTCCTGCACATTCTTTAACAAACGGTTACGTGCAGACTGTTCTACCAATTATTATGAGCATATAACCAAATTATGAGAAAGACAGAAGATGACTTCTTTTATTCCAGGATCACATCAATCAGCACATCACAAATCTCACAAAACAACTAGACTCTAAAACTTCCTAGACATACTAGTGCTCTTTCAAAGAGCTTTATTCATGAAAACATAAAACTTCTGGTTTGACCTAACATGCTTAAGCTCCCCCTACACAGGACACCTACGATGACCTAGCAACTTAGAACTGAAACGATGGGGAGGACAGATAGTCAGAGATTTCCCCTTCATCTCCTCCTACACCTTCTTCATCCAGTTCTGCAGTGCTGAGTCCATCTTCAAGATTTTCAGCCGCTACTGGTTCCTCAGGAACAGCTTCATCCACTAAGGGTGCTGCTGCAGGAACTACAGTCTCTTCTCCCCCTGAAGCATTGACTCGAGGACGCCTTCGTCCAACAAAGGCATTCACCTTGCGAAGAACAAACTGAGCACAAAGAGTATCAATCAGATCGACCCGAGCCACTTTGTAACGAAGATCAATACCTAAGCCGCGCAGCAGTAGAGTAATTTGAGGAGCAAAGGGTAGTTCCTCATTGAAATTGTCATCACAGTAATGAAGCATATGATTGAACATGAGATGGGGATAGCTAATGGGGCGATTTTCTTTTGCACTAGCCAGAATCCACATATCCATAGGATAGATTCGATTGAGTCCATGAGAGCGAGGAAGGAAGACCCTAGTGATAAAGAAATGGAGCACTTTGAGATCATCGGGGAGACGTCCAGTGGCAAGCTGAGAGGAATAATATTCACCCGTATCTCTTGTGTACAGACGAATGGCTTCAACTTCATTGAAACCAACTTGCTGGAAGTCTCCTTCATCCAAAACTTCAGTACCAGCAATAGGATACCCGAGAAGGTAAGACAGAATGTCGACCGAGATAGTGATCAAGTAATTGTACACCATAGTGGTGAAAGTGGGAGGATCAGTGTTGAAGCAGGGCTGCATGTTTGCATAGAACATTCGTACAGCTTCTGGACGAAAGCTGTAGCACTGATCCAGCGGCAGATTTGACCAGCCAACAGCATTGATCAGCCCAGGGATGTTCATATCATAGCGATTGAAGCGAGCTGGATCTAGTGAGATAGAAGGACACAGGGGACGATCTTGGAACTTAATGAGGTAGCGAGCATAGTCCTCGGCATTTCTGAAACCCTTCCCAGTGAAGATAGCTTCCTGAGCCAGATGCAGAGGCACATGAGGATTGATTCCGGCCATACTATCTGAAGAGGGAGTAGAATTCTATTGAGAGGAGCAGAAGGGATTTCGATGAGACTGCACTCAGATCTTATGAGGGTTTAAATACTCGAGAAGGGGGCTAGAGAGTTAAGGTAAGGAGAGGACAAGAATTTGAAATTATGACAGACAGGAGTCAAGATGAGAAAGAAATTATTTGCTGACCCTAAAGATTGATAGAAAGAAGGTAAGTCTTGGACCTAAAGAATAGGAGGGGTCGACTTCTCAGAAGGATACTCACATAAAGCCAGAATCACTTCAGATTCTCCAGTTCAGACCAAGAGAACATACCTAATTCACGGCGATTCGACAGAAACAGGTCCGAGCCCAAGGGCTTTGTAAAGATATCAGCCCATTGATTGGAAGTGGGAACAAATTCCAAGGAAATGATACCTTCTTCAACTAATTCTCTAATGAAGTAGTATCTGATTTCAATGTGTTTGGTTCGTGAGTGCAATATGGGATTCTTGGTCATGTTGATGGCACTGGTATTGTCACACAGAACATGAAGAGTTTTTAAGTGAAGACCATAGTCTTGGAGTTGGTGCTTCATCCACAGAAGCTGAGTACAGCAGCTTCCAGCTGCAATATACTCTGCTTCTGCTGTTGACAAGGCAACAGAGTTTTGTTTCTTGCTAAACCAAGAAACCAGAGAGGATCCTAGGAAATGGCAAGTGCCAGAAGTGCTCTTCCTATCAATTGTACAACCAGCATAATCAGAATCTGAGTAGCTAATCAATTCTAAAGATGAGTTGCTAGGATACCACAAACCCAAGTCTGAGGTGCCACTTAGATACCTAAAGATCCTTTTTACTGCAGTTAAGTGACTCTCCTTGGGAGAGCTCTGGAAACGAGCACAAACACAAACACTAAACATGATATCAGGGCGACTAGCAGTTAGATACAGCAGGGATCCTATCATCCCTCTGTAAAGTTTATCATTAATGGGAATACCAGATTCATCTTTATCTATTTTTATAGAGGAGGCCATAGGAGTGAGAGCAGATTTAAGATTTCCTAAGTCAAACCGTTTGAGCATGTTCACCAGATATTTTGACTGATTGACAAAGATTCCATGGGTAGTCTGTTTAATTTGCAATCCTAGGAAGTAGTTGAGTTCTCCCATTAAACTCATTTCAAATGCATTTTTCATATTTGACTCGAACTCCCTACACAGACTTTCACAGGTGGCCCCAACAATGATATCATCAACATACACCTGAACCAGAAGGATTTGACTGTTAAGTTGTTTAATAAACAAGGTTTTGTCCACCAGACCTCTTCTAAAACCATTTTCTAACAAAAAGGAACTAAGTTTGTCATACCAAGCCCTTGGGGCTTGTTTTAAACCATACAAAGCCTTTTTAAGTTTATAGACATGATTAGGAAATCTATGGTCTTCGAACCCTGGAGGTTGAGACACAAAAACCTCCTCTTTTAAATCCCCATTCAGAAAAGCACTCTTTACATCCATTTGATACAACTTAAAACCCTTTGAGCTAGCAAAGGCACACAATAATCGAATGGCTTCTAAACGAGCTACAGGGGCAAAAGTTTCTTCATAGTCTATCCCTTCCTCCTGGCAATACCCTTGTGCAACTAGTCTGGATTTATTCCTAACCACAGTTCCTACTTCATCAGATTTGTTTTTATATATCCACTTAGTACCTATTATTACTCGATTTTCAGGTTTAGGAACAAGTTCCCACACATTGGCACGCTCAAACTGATGCATTTCCTCAATCATGGATGCAGTCCAGAACTCATCTTGGAGAGCTTCATGCACATTCTTTGGTTCAACTAAAGACACATAGGCAACAGTAGAAGGTAAGGTCTTTGATCGAGTAATCATACCTTGATTAATACTTCCTATGATTTGTTCAGGAGGATGACGTCTCACAATGTACGCTGGTGGATGAGCATCTGAATCAGTTACACTGGTCCCTTCTTCTGGTTGCTTCTGGATGGCTTCCAGCTGATCAGGTGCTTCCACTGGTGTTTGAACAGTCTTGACACCATTTTCTTTGGTGTTTGACTGCTGCCTTCCAAGTCCAAAATCGTCATCATCATAGCCATCTGTTCTTACAACAACAGATTCATCAAAAATAACATTGACGGACTCCTCAACCTTGAGGGTCCGTTTATTGAACACACGATAGGCCTTGCTAGTGTTGGAGTATCCTAAGAACACAGACTCATTCAGATTTTGAGTCAAATTTTCCCAGATGATCTTTTGTGTTCAATACAAAACACTTGCAGCCAAAAACATGAAAGTAGCTTAGGTTAGGTTTTCTTCCTTTCCAGATTTCATATGGAGTTTTATTAACACCAGCTCTAATTAAAGCTCTATTGACAGTGTAACATGCTGTGTTAATAGCCTCTGCCCAGAAGAACTTAGGAATCCCATAGTCATTCAGCATAGTGCGTGCAATGTCTATAAGAGTCCTATTCTTCCTCTCTACAACACCATTCTGTTGTGGTGTTCTCGGAGCAGAAAAATTATGAGAGATACCTAGATCATTGCAATACTGTTCAAATGAGTCAGAGCAGAATTCTCCTCCATGGTCACTCCGAATACTACAGACCTTAGCTAATTTTTCATTCTCAATTCGTTTGACCAGGGTTCTGAAATTTTCAAAGGCTTCATCTTTCATACTAAGAAATAGTACCCAGGTGAATCTAGAGTAGTCATCAACTACAACGAAAGCATATGACTTTCCACCATAACTAACTACATTTGTAGGTCCAAATAAATCTAAGTGAGTAACTCTAGAGTCCTTGATGTAGAGATAACAGATTTTGTTTTAAAACTAGACCTGGTCTGTTTGCCCTTGGCACAAGCATCACAGAAAAAATCCTTTTTCTCATTTAGTTTTGGAAGTCCTTTAACTAAATTTAGACGAGCTAACTTAGACAGAACACTAACATTAACATGCCCCAGCCTTCTATGCCATTCTTCCTGATTACTCTTATCAAGACTAAATAAACAGGTCTCATTGAAACTTTCCTTGTCATTTAGATCTATAGTGTAGATTTTCCCATCCTTTTTACCAGTAAATACTACTTGTTTGTTCATGATTTTCTCTTTTCATTTTATTGTATCTCATTTTGACATTTTCGAATTCTACTTGAATGTCTCTGATTGTGTCAATTAATAATTCATTATCATTAAAATCTTCAGACTCATGTATAGATTCAGTGTCACTTACCTGTCCTGAGTTGCTGTTATGCTCGTGTGACTCACCTTCCATTTCAGCAATCGCCATGAATGACCTTTGAACTATAACTTCGTCGTCATCTTCCATTTCATCCTCACTGCAACTCCAAGTAGCAGCCAAGGCTCTCTCTTTCTTGAGCTGTGGGCACTCAGCTTTGATGTGTCCCGCTCGGCCACATTTGAAACACCCTGTGGAGTTTATGCTTCTAATGTTCTGACTAACATCAGCTCTGCCTTTTGAGTAGGTCCTGAGTTGATTCCCTTTCACACCGCTTTCGTTTCTTTCAAGATCCTTGCCCTTACTTCCAGAATTCCCATACTTCTTTTCCCTTCGGATCTTAAGCAATCTGCTGACTTGCTTACTTAGCAATGCCAATTCTTCGTCTTCCATATCGTCTAGATCCTCTGAGTCATCCAATGACGTGATAGCCTTGAAAGCCACTCCCCTTTTACCTTTGTCATTGGTTTCCTTCTCTTGACTTACCTTGTTCAGCTTATCTTCATGAGCAACCAGGGATCCAATCAGCTCATCGACAGATATTTTTTCCAAGTCTTTAGCTTCTTCAATGGCTGTGATCTTTGGTGTCCACTTGTCTGGTAAGCTCCACATAATCTTTCTCACGAGATCCCCACTTTCATACGACTTTCCCAGATTCTCAAGACTGTTTACTATGTTGGTGAACCTCTCGTACATGATTCTGATTGATTCTCCTTCTTCCATTTTGAATAATTCGAACTGATGCTTCAAGGAGTTTATCCGTGAGGTTTTTACCTGTGAGGTTCCTTCATATGTCACTTGAAGCTTGTCCCAGATTTCTTTTGCTGTCTTGCAACCTGCCACCTTGTGGTATTCTTCTGGTCCAAGGGCGCAGTACATCAAATTTGTGGCTTTGCAGTTCTGCTGAAATTTCTCGAAGTCTTCATCACTCCACTTCTCTTGATCTTCCTTGAGTTCATGAGGCCCTTTAATAACTCTTGCCCAAATTTTTGGGTCAGTCGAACCCACGAACAGCTCCATACGATTCTTCCAGTAACCGTAATTGACACCTTCGAATCGTGGCAGGCGATTTTGTGAAAATCCATCTGCAAGATAGAGAGGAGCATTGCTCGCTGATCCTGAAGCCATCTCTAGATTCTCCGAAGGATGTTACGCCTTTATGAGCGGAGCCGGGCTCTGATACCACCTGTTGACGGCTTCGAGCGCGAGAAGCCTGTACCTGATGAAGAACTTCCTTCTTCTTTTGACCTGAAAAACCTAAATCGACTTTGACCAAGTACAGGTGAGAAACAACAACGAGATGCAGAGAAGGTATTCAAAACAATGAGATCAAACAGTGTAATTAGAATTGGGCTGTCTCCGTAATTGGGCTAGAACCCTCAAGTCCAATCAGTTTAATCTTCTGCTCCAAAAGAGTTAAAACGATGGGGTTGCTCTGCTCAAAACTGTGCGTTTCAGAACACGGGCTTCTCCTCCTTGCTCGTGTTCCTTTCAGACGATCCCCTGTTTCAACTAAACACTCAACCAAACACACACTTAGCAACAACAGAGCAGAAACAGAGTAAAGTTCTTCACACGCTGTCAGAACTTGAAGAAGAAAAGGACACGGTCAGTTTTTACGTGGTTTCCAGAGCTGGGTCAATTGATTCCCAACTCTGACTAGTCCACGGTCGGAAGATCACGATGATGTGATTTCCGACGCTTCACTAAGCTTGTAGATAGTCTCGGTTACAAGTTTTACAGCTCCGAAATCACTCAGCCCAATCCAAGACTGATGATTGAATCAATCTACTTCCTGATATACGACTAGCACTCCTGCTACTGTGTTTCTCTCAACACACCACTCACCCAAGTTCTCTCCAGAAGTTGGATTACCCTTGCTTTTCTTATCACTCACACTTGCTAAAGCTAAGCACTCCCTGTATGAATGATCACCCGAAAAGTAACTATCTTCTTGTTCTCTTTGGCCTTTTATTCAGCAATCACAGAACCGTTGCTCTTTCTTTCCTTTTCTTCCTTGAATAGGTTTATGGTAAGAACTTGAATACTTTCCTTCTTGATTTCTTCAGACCGTTCCTGGTTTCTTGTACTTCAAGGAACATGCGCTTGGTTCAGCCTCATTTGACAAGCTGCTTCCAACAGAAGAGTCATTTGTTATCATTCTGTTTCTAGCCCGATGAGTTACGCAACAGTGATGCAATCTCCGACAAAGGGAGATCACTCTGTGGGATTGGGTCGATCGGCCATTGACGGCAGAGGAGGGTGACATAGCACAAGAAGCAGGGAGAAGATATATCCCAACCTTACAAGAGCTCCACGCTTACATGAGGTGACTTCCCTTCTACTCTCCTCTCTCAACTTTACCAGAATTATTGGGTCTCTCTCATCGCAATCATAGTTGCTTTGTACAGTACCCCATTTCCCTTTGGTTGCGCCACACTAGCAAGAATCAACTCATGAAACGAGACGGAAGCGATGCTGGACCTGTTGGGAGTGACTTGGTTCGACAATAAGCTGGGAGCACCACAAGAGTTTTTTGATTCAACGTGCTTGGAAGTTTGTCGATTCAGGTTTAGTCTGGTTTGGAATTTCCTATGCTTTTGCTGTGTTGGTGTTGATGTCAGGTCATTTCCGCAAAAAGGATCCATTTGGTTGCTGTTTTAAGGGCTTTTGCTTTCTTTACGAGTTTCACGGCCTAACTCTATTCCCTGTTTACATTGGGTGATTCATAATACTCATTTTCTGATTTTCATTCTTAAACTGGAAACCTTTAGTACCAGCTTGAACTCTTTTCTTTGAGGATGAAGTTTTTAAAATTGTTACTGTAATGAATTTTGGCCTGAATTTGATAGCCTTAAGGTTGACCCAAAAAATGCATTTTCTACCATGATGCTCATGTTACAATGCTGCTTGGTGCTCTCAAGGAACTTCTGCATATGGATTTTTTTTTTAGATTTGAAATCAAAGAAATTGCAGAATTAGGGTACATTTAAAAATTGAAATGGATTTTTGCAGGGTATAGATTAGAGGAGGAGCGGCCATGAATGAGCTTTATGCTCATGTATCAATGTTGCTTGGTGCAGATGAGAGCCACATTGCAGGTATCAATCATATTTTATGCCTCTCAATGAACTTTTGCATATGCGTTTTTTCATTATTGGATTTCGAAAAAACAAACGGGGTGTTGGGAACGTCTGATCCCTATATTTCAACTGCAAGATGAAATGGGGAATGGTGTAAAAGGTGTGATACAAGAAGGTGGACAAGGAGGAACCAAATTTTGGGATTGATGTAACTCATGTCTTTCCTGCAGGTTTGGCTGTTTCACGCTAATGCCAGTGCTTGATGGATGTGGAAGCTACAAGCCGAAGATCAGGTAATGTTTTGGATTCGTGTCCCTTGGGAAATTCCCCGAGTATGCTGAGTTGTTCATGTTTATTCTTGATACTTTTACCATATAGTTTGCAGCTGGAACTCAAAGTAGATCTAATACTCTCTCCATTCATTTTGATTGCTCGCCAGGTTTTAAGATACGAATGGCAAAACGTATATGAGAGTGCTTTATGCTTTTGTTGCTGGGTCTTCTCGATGGCAGCTTTAGCATGGACCTAGCCTTACAGAGTGATGGAGAAGAAATGACTGTCACAAGTGACACTTTATTCTTCAGAAGGTGCGATTCAACAACTAAACTTGCAAAGTAACTATCAGCAGCCACCCAAACTTTTTAGAAAGTAATATGTTGTGCCCAATCAGTCAGTCTTATTGCTGCACTTTTTCAAAGGAATTGTTCTTTATGGTTGATTTACAAAGCAAATCATTATTCTCAACTTATGCTTGCAGTTTCTGCTGCTTTTTCTTTTTCCAAACTTGGCCTTATTTGCTAATTGTCAACCCTTAATATGATTTGATAGAACCCTTTCAGATTTGCCTACCTTTTCTCATTTCAATTGCTAGGTTCTTTACTTGGAAGTAACACTTTTGCTTAATAGAGAACCTGTTCCACATGACTGTCTTTTTCTTATCCTAGAACTGTATTGTTGTTCCATAGATACTTCAGCTCAGTTTGTATTGACAAGATACATCTTAGTGGCGAGTTCCATATTTCTTTACGTTCCATTTTGTTTCATTTTCAGCTTATATGAGTCATATGAGTCTGTTCATATGGAGATTGCTCAGATCAACATGGGAATTTGAGGCTATCTTGCTTTGACTTGATGCCCTGTTGGAGAGCAGTTGAGCCAATAGAGTTGACAAGTTATGAAAAACCACAATGCGTTGGTGTCTTTAGTTGACAAGGACCTAGATAGCTTTACTGGATTGCAATTCTACAGTCTGACTACTCGATAGTCTTACAAGGGTGCATATTTGCTTTCTAGATGCAGCTAAATCTTTTTCATTTCTCGAGTTCAATGCTTTTTCCCCTTACGATTATAGGGCCATGTTTGGAGTCCTGAGTAGATCCAACTGAGCCAAAGAACTGTTTTTCCCTCATCGGGTGGTCATTGACAAGCTCCATTAAAGGTGCCTCACCAAATCAATAACCCTTAATGCTTGCTGATTTAAATGAATAGGTGATATTTGTTAATCACTTTCACTGGCTTTGAATTTCTTCGGCCACCATAAATAATGCTATATAGCCAAGCCCAGGTTTACTTTAATTAATTTGCTATATATGTTCATCTGTTTATATACAATAAACTAATGTCCTGCATTTTAGAGTCTTGGGGTAAGCAAGTTTATCTTCTCTTATATTTCAGCCATCCGTTTATGTTTTATTCTACCATGGCCTGTAACCGTTTCACGTCTTTTGTATTGGCCTGTGGAACTTATATATGAAAGCTAACCGGAGCCCGAGAATGGATGTTCTTTCAAGAATACCCTGTTATGACATCCAGACACAAGCTGTTATTCAAGTCGAGGATTGCATAATTTGGTGTTTGTGAATGAACTATGAATTTTTATAGAAGTGAAACATTTCAATTTTTTTTTTTGCCACTAATATGTTGGTTGATTGATTGGAACGTGATTATGTTTATTCAAGGTATCCTTAAAGCATGTGACCAACAAATAATTTGTAACCATAGAATCAGAAAATATCTTCAACTGCAGTTTCTATTTACTCTATAGAATGTAAAACATGTACCCTATCAGAAGGTTTTGACTTTTGATATGTTTTGTTTCAGTTGTGCTAGGTTGGCTACAATTGAAGAGGGAAGAGATTAGTATGACTACTATAATGGAAAGAAGTGAGTGGAAGGACATAGGAAGGATTTCTCAGTCAATCGGTCATGCCAGGTTGATATACTGCCTTAAGTATGAACCTGCACATATCACTCCTTCCTTGAACATATAGTTCTTTCATTCCTATGCTTTTCAAAACAAGAGGATCATGGCTTTATTTCCAATGATTAATGGGGAAGGATAAGCAGTTATGATGCTTTTTGTTATGTTGCCTATGTAAAAACTGTTATAGTTTCCCGATTGGTTGATGTCACCTAATAATCACAATTGTCGCTGCAGATCAGATGCAAAGTTGGGGATTTCAACAAGTTAGCATTTGGTTCGTGTTTTTATTCCTTTTCTGGGTTTTATTTTATAGTTTCACCTTTCATGCCAGCTCTCTCCCTCTTTTTCCTTGGTTGTTTGGTTGATTACAAGTTGCAGTTCCCTTCTGTGCTGGAATACTCCTGGATACTGTGGCTCCAAGCACCCTTAAAGGAAGGGGTAAGCAAAGTGAAAGTAGGATGTTGAAGGAGAGTGTGATAGGGAATTGACAAGACCAACTAATTCATTTCCCCTTTTATTCTCTATTGTATTCAATTAGGTTAACACTTAGTGCTGTAACTTATAAGTGCCGACTGACTCAAAGATTTGTCAATGTTATTTCTATAATCCAATATGCAGACTTCTATTGTTAGTACCGTGTGTTGGATAGTGAATTATTATCGTCCTTTCTTTGTTAGTTATAATAATTTTGGGTTCTTTTTCGACTTAATATTCTATTCTTGCTCATTTACGAATTGCGAAGCGTAGCGAGCGGGTCATTGCTAGTATAAAAGACATCGCACTTGCGTCCCATAGGATCAACTTACAGGGTGTAGACAGCGTTCAAAATTTCGTACCATAATCTAATAAAGAGCACATAGAGTTGGGATAGACATATAAGCCTTATCAATGGGTCTACTTGGGTTTGGGTATAATTAGTAATTACCCATGGGTGGGTAATTTGTCATCCCTATTATAAGGTAGATGTTAGAAACAGGGGTTCTAGAGCTCTCGGATTCGTGTGGAAAATGAGGAAAACTAGCTAGATCAATTAGAGAAATCTAACTAGGGATTAGAGAAGTGATGGGAAATGGGAATTGAACACTATTAGTAGGGGTGGTAATTGGTTTTACCGATGCACCGCGAAAGTGAAGGAGAAGAAGCTTTCCAGTTCGGTTAACCTGGATATAACCGGATCGATTCTGGGAAGTGGGCAATTTTACATTTTTTGAGTTTTCTTTTTGCACTTTTATATAATTTCTAATTTAATTCTTAATTCTTATTTAAAATATTTTTAATTTTTATACTTCCATTAATGTACTATGAATAATGGATTATGTTAATGAAAATTTTCAAACATTAAACCAATTTGTTAATTAATTTAAAACAAGTTCGAAGGGACAACAATCATTAATCAACATTAAACATCATCAAATCAAATTCATCAAACATCATTAAATTCAAAAGGTCAACAATCAACATAATCGTCAATCGACTAAAGTGCACTATGACAATGTCTAAATTCAATATAAGTTCAAACTTAAAAATTAAAATAGATCTTAGAAGTCCCCAAATTTAACGCAAACATCAACTCATCAAATTACCACTAGCTCATGCTCCTCCATCTCCGATAGAACTTGTACCACCAACATTAGCACAACCTTGCTGCTTCAACGTCCTGAGAAGAGTATCATCTGGATCGTCATCGTCATCTAGGTTTATGTCTTCGTTGTTGGTGTTACACCCCGCTCTTTCCAAAAGTCAAAATGACTATTATACCCTTGGGTCAAGTTCCACCGTATTGTCGATGAGGATTAAAAATGTGAACTTTCGGTTCAAGCGGTGTTGAATTTCAACATAAAATGAGAAATTTACGAACATTAATTAAGTTTCGGATTAAACTCATCCGCAAGTGTGAATTTCCACAGATAACCCTTTGACTAATTAAAATCCTAGAAGCCTTACCTAACCCACTCGGCCTCACCCCAAACTAAGTAAAACCCTTCATCCTCGAACTTAGCTCGTGGAATCCCTATCCACATCCTAATTCCATTATCGCCAATTTCCATGGCCTCTCAAGCAGCCAGAGGCGGTGTTTCGCTCCCGGAGAAGCGTCCTTCCAAGCGTCAACAGCCCGACTCCGACACCATCCTCGCGAAGCTAACCAACTCCGAGATCGTCTCCAAGGGCAAGCGAGTCGCGTGCGACACCGCCTATGTTACCAAGAGACTCCTCCGCAGCACCGGCAAGGCGGCTTGGATCGTCGGGACCATCTTCTTGATCTTGGTGGTGCCGTTGATCATCGAGATGGATAGGGATCGGCAGCTGACTGAGCTCGAGCTCTAGCAGCAGAGTCCCCTCGGAGCACCGCCGGTTGGTGCGCCTCAGAAGTAGTGGTATGGGCGCCTCCTCTAATCCCCATTATATCTTTTATGGTAAGCAGACTATTGTTGGTCACTTTAATTCTTGAGTCGGTCTGCAATGTGAAGTGGGTAGCTGCAGAACTTGTAACTTAAGGATATGATTGAGGAGGAATTTTACAATGCTATATAGCATTGGTGATATAAGTTTTTTCTTTATGGTACAACTTGAAATTGGACATTTAACGTTATGGTACAATTTCAGATTGTACCTATACTTTTTGTACAGATTCTTTTATGGTACAACTTAAACTTGTACATTATGTGATGGTACAACTTCCAGTTGTAAAGTTGTACCATAACATAATGATACAAATTCTTTTATGGTACAACCTAAACTTATACATTTAATGTTATGGTACAACTTCAAGTTGTACATTAAAACACCAATGCTATATAGCATAGTAGAAGTGCTCATGATTGAGATGTACAAGGGGTTGATTATGGAGTTTTGTCAATTAAAAGATCCATTTCTCAGAGAAGCCAAGCATGGGACAGGTGGCGGGTTCAGAATAGAATGGGTGGAATTATATAATAGGAGAAGTATAATACGTATGGAATTGATTTGACTTTGGAATGGAAATTATATGCAGCTCTTGAAATAATACAAAGGAGATTTGAATTGCATGGAGACTTAACCGAGGTACCCTGGTCAATTCAAAGCGTTCGTAATGAGGTGAGTGTAAAGGGGGTAAACTCTACGCCTTACGGTATATAAGTTTATGAGATTTGACTGCTGTGTGTCGTACTTGCCTTTGTATGCTTATAGGATGTCATCTGATTTATGTGATTTATGCTTTCAGTTTTATGTTGTTGTGTGCTTTACTTACAAGTAAGTTTAAGTTAAAGAAACAAGTTCTTTTTAAAGAAGTAACCCACCTTCAAGAAGGTGAAGTTGTTTTAAGTGTTTTTAGTCACTAGCGCCAGTCCGTTGCCATTTGAGATTTTGAGATAGAGCAGCAGTTATGCTCTTGAGACTTTTAAGATGATCAGCAGTTATGCTCTTGAGAATCGTGGCGAAGAGCCACCACGATAAGTTTAAGATGTTAGGGGGATGAATCGTTACGACTCCCCTAACTAAGTATAAGTTTAAGGAAAGCCTGGATGGCTTCTCATACTTATGAGTTGGCAACCGGACTAGCTAGTGAGGGATCCCCGTGTCAGTCAAAAGATTTAAGTTAAGATTTGAGCTTTAAGAGAGGAGAGTAACTTCAACTCCCTCAAAGTTTAAGAGTTAAGATTTTAAGTTTGGAAGTACAAACAACTTCCACTAGTTAAAGTTAAGTGTTTAAGTAAAATACTCAAGTATTAGAATTATTAATACATAAGGGAGTAGACTGACCCCAACTCACTCACCAGGCCTTAGTAAGGGAATGAGTGAGAACCAGATCGGTAGCAGCTAGCTAGAGGAGCAGTTAGAGAGCAGCGAGTTCGAGAGGAAAAGTTCGAGAGCAACCAGCTAGAGGAGGGCAGTGCAAGCGTCATGGAGGATGCCTAGGTAAGATTTTCAGTAGCAGCAACGACAGAGACTACCTAGTTATTTACATTTTATGATTATGAGTATAGACTAGAGAACAGATTGGGATTTAAAGTTTGAGTTAAATTTGCCCACGTTTTAGGGCTTTTGCTCTGAACTATAAGTGTGTGTTTTCAGTATTTTATTTATGAAAATTTTTCCCGCTGCAATTTAATATTTGAGCATTTTATTTATCAATGGCATTTTAGTAAAAGTAGTACCCGGCCGGGTTAGGGTGTGTCAGTTGGAATCATCATCATCATCATCATCCTCATCAACCGCAACAGGTAAGCTATGTGTTCCACTTGCACTTGGCATATCACTTGCAGTTTCCACTCGAGCTTGAAAAGTAGTAGTGACTAGTAATAAAAAAACACAAATGTTAATAAAGGAATAGTTTAATAGTAAATAATATAGAAAAATTAGAATAATGAATTGAATTCTTACCTTTTTCATAATCGCCTATCTCTTGATCTTCTTCCTTATCATCCATTCCAACTGCAGTCTTTCCACTTTCATACCGTATCCAATCTTCAGCACAAATCAAGGCCTCTACAATGTTTGGGCTCAAAGAAGATCGGAAAGGACTAAGAAATCAACCTCCACAACTGAAAGCAGACTCCGAGGCAAGAGAGGAGACTGAAACTGCTAAGATATCCCTAACCATCTCTGAAAGAATGGGATATCTAATACTGTTCTGAGACCACCACTTTAGAATTTCAAACTTCCTATCATCAAGTTCCTCGTTAATAGCATCACCAACACCTCTCAAATAGGAGTCCAACTCAGCACCGGAACCTCGACCCCCCCCCCCCTAAGTTGCTCCTTTCTCTTCTGCTGGAACCGAGCCTCAAATGCCCCTCCCATAATAGAAGATTTGTCACTAGTACTATCCCCCGCAGTCACAGTAGGAGGAGTAGTCTGAGTAGTATGCTCAGACTCAGAGGGTGGAGGTGTATACCTCAACTTGTAGACCTCAAACATTGCAGCCATCTCTTTCTTTACTTCATCTGCCAAAGCTTTCCCTTTTGACCTCCCATACATCTCTTCCAACATCATAGTCAAATACTCTGGTCTACGCTTGGGATCTAGCACACATGTCATGTAAACTAGCCTATTTATCCTAAGGCTATCCTCCTCGTCATCATGCATCATTCTCAAAGCAATATTTCCTCACCTTTGCCTTTATTCTTTCTGCCATTGTTTGAATCTATCCATCTACATCCTTCTTCAAAGTTGCTATCACTTCATAAATATCAATAATGGCTCTGCAGAAAGTATATGCAGTGACATATGATGTTCCTGATACAAAGTAAAAATAACAAACATCAATATAAATATTATAACTCATAATCATTAATCACTCACTTTAAGATATGAATTTGAAAATTTTGACGTTCACATACCTTATACACGAAGGATAAGTTCATAAAAGAACTTCAAGTACTTCTTGAGCCGCCTAATGTTGCGCCAATCTTCTTCACTTGGAAGACCCTTCTTGGAGTCCACATAGTCTCGGAAGGAAGCATCTGTTGGACTAGCATGTATGAACTTAAAGACAGGCTCGAACCTTTCTGCATAATCCAACATCAAATAGGTGGAATTCCACCTAGTCAGAACATCCAAAGACACAAGTCTTTTCTCATCCATCTCTAGATACCTGATGCTAGAATTGAACTTTGCACTCCGAGCTGGTGATGACTTCATCCATTTCACATAATCCCTTACCCTCTCCATAACAACTCCAACCTCCTTCAACCCATCAGAAACAACTAGATTGATTATATGTGCCACACATCTATACTGCAGATACTTCCCATTTAAAAAATCCGATCCCCACCCTTTCAGTTTTGTTCTCATGCACTCAACTAAAACATCATTAGAAGTGACATTATCCATTGTCATACAAAACAGATTCTTCACTTTCCATTCTTGTAAACATGCTGCCAAACTTTCTGCAATGTCCTTTCCTGCGTGACTAGTAATGGGAACAAAGAAAATTATCTTCTTCTGCAACTTCCAATCATCTCCAATAAAATGTACAGTCACACACATATAATTCTAATTGTACGTTATCAGAAGTCCATGTATTTGTAGTGCTCGAAAACCTTCCTTTGCACTTTGAGTTGAAAAACTCAAGCAACATCTGCTTCTTCTTCAAAAAAATGACATAACAATATGATCTTATTGTTTGCCTTCTAGGTCTGACAAACAAAGGCTGAGTTGTGGCCAGAAATATCTTAAATCCTTCACGCTCAACAAATCTGAACGGTAGCTCATCCAAGATGATCATCATAGCTAATGTATTTCTAGCTTTGTTCTGACAAACTTCCATGGAGTAAGAGAGCCTACCTCACCAACCCCACTTCCAGGTTGATAGTTCAATACTGATTGACAACTAGCTTCCTTCGACCTCCTCTCGCATGCTAGGTGATGGTTTTTCAAACCAGTAGTCCCATTGAGACTTGAATGAGCTTTGATATGCGTCCCACATTGTTTGCATTTTTCGTATGGGTAGCCATCCACAAGCACACGATTATAGGGAATCCACCACTTAGATGTCCTCTTCCTCCCCTTCTCCTTTACAATTTCTTTTTCACACCAGGTACCTCACCACCACCATCAGTAGTAGGGGCCGGATTATTTGCAGATGGAGGTGGATTTGGCGTAGTGGAAGGTGTACTAGTTGAAGTCTTCCCTTTTTTTTTTGAAGAGCTTCGAGGAGGTAGTGAACCACCTTCTTATTACCTCCTCCACGAATGCAAGAAGGTTTTGTCCAACAAAAGTACAACAAAATGAACACATAAATATCCCAAACAACCAATTCAATCAATTCTCATCAATTGAAACTCATACACACATACTGTCATTATCAATTATCACCAATTCAATCAATATTTCTCATATCATATACATACATTTTTTATTAGAAAATATAATCGCTAATTAGCCTGCTTTGCTGCTGCTGGTTGCTCCTGTTTGGATGCCTGCTTTGGAGTTCGGCCTTTGCTCTTGCTTGAGCTCAAGGACTCGGCTGCCTGCGCTGCCTCTGCTCTCATCAACGAAGGATAACTGGTCAGGTAGAGAAGCAATTGGAGATTCTACCTTCTGAGGAGGAGGAGGAGAAGGAGGAGGAGGAGGAGAGGAACATGGCAACTGGGCAAGGGAATCGATCTTTAGTTCCTTACTTATGGAGCTCGATCGGTCTTGCTGGAGCTCCACGACAGCGGCGGGTGTAGGAGATGACTGAGGGAAGAGAGGGCTCCGCGTCGCCGATGATTGGGAAGAGGAGGAAAGGACAGGGGAGGTCGGAGGCGGAGTCACAGAGCGACGGACAGTGGAGGCGGAGAAGCATAGGTAGAGACGCGGAGATGGGATACCCACGGCGGAATCAGAGTCAGCGAGGAAAGGGGCAGGATGAATTGGAGTCGAAGTCATCATCGTCTCTGTTCTATCGATGGGCGAATGGAATTCGATTTTGGAATGGCGACGAGGAAGACAGGTTGGACTGGAGGAGACTCAAGTGGCAGAATTTGGGGTTGGGACATTGCAGAAAGAAAACGTCGGAGTTTTACCCTCCCAGACGGTATCGGTTTGACCAGATATCTATCGGTTTTTACCGGTATTGGAGTCGGTATACCGAAACCCTCTCAAACGCTGCCGACAACCGACACCACCAGTTATCTGTTTTACCGGTAACCGATGGTTATCGGTACGGTTACTAGTTAAACCGACAACCGGATAACCATTTGTCATTCCTAAATATTAGGAAGGAAAAATAACCAAAAATGCGGCAGCAACCATAGAAGAGAAAAAGATAGAAAGATTAGATTTTCGTAATTTCTGTTATGTAATTACTTAATTAGTAATCATACTAATTACATAATATATATCCCGAATAATCCCTTTTCCATACCCAACTAATACGACTTGACGAAATACTCCCTAATTATTTCCACCCCCCCCCCCCCCCAAATAATCTCTAAACTTTATAAAACATTAATAACTGACAAATAAGTCCAAAGGATAGAAATACCAAATATATGTGTTTCTAAGATCTCCGCCTCCTTAAGATCAACCTTGCCCTCAAGGTTGATCCCTCTCATTCTAGTCCTGCTTCCTTGCCTCATCTTCCGCCTCATCCTCCCACCAGCATCATCTAGTCACGCTTCGCTCAATGGTGACCAAAAGTGAACCTCTCATTGCAGATGAAGCAATTTTCTTCCCACCTCTTCTGCACGATCTCAGATGGTGTCAGCCTTATGAACCTGATAGACCGTTAATTACACATGTTTTTACCCCTGTTCTTACACCGTTTGAGATGTGATTTCTCGTGGTTTAGACCGATTTCACGCTAGGTTGTGCTTGTTTGTGATGTTTCAGGTCCTAGTACGTGAATGAAGGCTTAGGAGCGAGTCTGGGGTCGATTGGACGAAGAACGGACGAATAGCGAGGTTTCTGGGGAGCTGCACGGGCAGACCAGGGAGGCTGCACGGCCGTGCACGTGAGCAATATGGCCGTGCGCCTTATGCCGAGGACACGCACGGGCAACCCCTGAAGCTCGCACGGCCGTGCACCCTGGCCGTGCGAGAGGGCTGAAGTTCGACTAAATGACACGCTGCGTTTTGAGTTGCACGGCCAGAATGGTGATATGCACGGCCGTGCACCCTGGCCGTGCGAGTCGGGATTTCCTGGTTTTAAGCCAAATTCCGAACCAAAGAAGGGGGATTGGAGTTTTTGAGAGAGAGATCAGTTCCTAGAGAGAGAAAGTGACGAGCAAGAGTTCCCAAGTGCCCTAGATTGATCTTCAACACCATTGGAGGCCAGCTTGAGCTTGGAGAAGTGCCGATCAACGTCCAGAAGCAGGAATCCATCCTTCGCAGTATGAATTCCGTGTCTGATTCTGCTTTTGCTTTCTTCTCTATGGAGTAGTTCTCCCATTCATCTGGGTATGGAGAACCCTAGATTTGTATGTTAGGCTTTGATTGTATGAACCCAAGTACTGATTCTATGATTTGATTATATTCGATTGAGGTTTGAATGATTGAATGACTTGAATCCTGATCAAATTCCTGTTGTTTCTGCTTTGACCTAGAATGAGAATATCTGCCTAGGTTGATAGAGCATCCTTGATTGAAGGTAGGGAGTTGGTGACTTTAGTCGAGGAGCCAACTCACTATTCTGTACCGGATTTACTCCGGTAGTGGAGATTTTGTTTGTTAAGGCCTCAATCTGTTTACTCCGGTGGAGGTTAGTCGCCCGCTAGAGACTCAGATTGAGAGGGTCTGAAGACCTTTAGTCGAGACTTCAGGCTGTTTAAGAACCTTCCGCAGTATAACTATCATAGAAACTGAACTTGGTAATTACAATCCGGCTTAACTGCAGTCTAGGGGGAACCATATCCGGGTGACCTCTCTTAACCTGAATACAACAGTTTACTTGCTTTGTTAGTTTGTTAGTTTAAACCTGCATTAAAGTTTCATTGCTAGATAACAAGAATTCACTGAGTAGTCATCAAATCTAGGACCCGGGTTGATAATTAAACCCAAACCCGCTATACTACGCTTTAGGAAGTGGTTTCACTTGGCCAATTCCTGGAGTGACAGTAGAGTCGAGTCAAGTTTTTGGCGCCGTTGCCGGGGACGGCTAGGTTGTTGAAGAAAAGTGATTTCTGTTAATTTAGCTTTTCTTTTTTGCTTTGTTTTCTTTGTCCCACTTGTGCCTTCACGGGTTTGTTGCTTGAGTGTGTGCAGGTAGTGCATGACCCGTAGCCAGTCAGGAGGTTTACTGCCGTTGAATCCAGAGATTGACCGCACCTGTCGCCAGCTCAGGAGACAACAGCGAGCTAGACTGGCTACGGAAGAGCGCATAGACGGCCACCTGAGCAGCGATTCTGAAGAAGAGCACGGGATGGACGGAGACTACAACCAACACCAGGGGAATCCACAACAGGTTCCCCCGGTGAATCAGGTCCTGGGGAACAACCCCATACCCCAGGACCATGGAGTTCATCATCCACCGCAGCCGGGTCCCACCTTGGAGTACTACTACACTCCTCGGATTGCTGACATCCGCCCGGTCATCCTCTACCCGCCGATCCCAGCAAACAACTTCGAGATCAAGCCATGCTGGATTCAGCTCATCACATCCTCGATCCAGTTTCATGGCTTGAAGGATGAGGAGGCCAGGGTACATCTGTCCCGTTTTCTGCAGCTGACAAACGGGTTCAAGCTGAATGGTGTCCCGGATGATGCAATCCGCCTTCATCTTTTCCCCCATTCTCTGGCGGGGAATGCTAAGAGGTGGTTGGAGACCCAGCCCCCATTGTCCATCACCTCTTGGGACGATCTGGCGGACAAGTTCGTGCACAGGTACTACCCGGAATCGAAGACTACTGAGATTCAGCGGGAGATCACTCACTTCCGCCAGGAGCCAGATGAGTCACTTCGTGATGCATGGGAGCGGTACATGGGATATTTCTGGCAGTGCCCCCACCATGGCTTCAGTGATCCATTCACAGTGGGGAATTTCTACAGTGCCCTCTCTCCAGATAGCCAGAGGGTGATTGAGTCTCTATGCCCAGGAGGGGATATTCTTACGAAGACTCCACCCGAGCTGAACCAGATGATCAGTACTTTGGCTGCCAGAGATCATTCTTGGGGACACGGTAGCCGAGGCAGACAGTCCCGGGACCGTGGTGTGCACGCCATGGAGACCAGATCCGGGCTCGAGCAGCAGGTAGCTGAACTGGTGCAGACATTGAAGCAGCCCAACAGTATTCTTCCGGGCAGAGGTTTGGCTACACCTCCAGTAGCTCAATGTCAGTGGTGTGAGAGCTCCAATCACCTAGTGGAGGACTGCCAGGCTATGAGGGAGTCTACCACACCCCAGGAGCAGTTGGCCTTCATTGCCAATGCGAGGCGCCTCGATCCTTACAGCAGCACATATAATGAGGGGTGGCGCCAGCATCCCAACTTCGCCTGGAGCAGCAACACCACCAAACCACCTGGTTTCCCAGCACCAGCAGGTGGTTTTCAGCAGAGGCAGCCCTTCCTGGCTCGCCAGGGGCCAGACCCACAGCAGCCCTACCAGCCCAGGCAGGGGCAGCCATTCCAGCAGCCCCAGCGCCAGTTTGCCGAGCCAGCAGCAGCTCCAGCCCCAGATGACAGGATGACGAAGCTGGAAAACATTCTAGCTTCCTTCATGACGAGCACTCAGGCGACTATCACGAGGTTGGACCAGAGTGTAGCCTCACTGGAGGCAGGTCAGAGGAACCAGGGTGCCATTTTGCAGGATTTGCAGACCCAGGTGGGCATCTTGGCCCGCCAAAACAGTACCAGGACACCGGGGACTCTGCCTGCCACCACTGTTCCGAATCCTCGAGATCCTCACCAGCATCAGCAGCTGGATGCCATTTTTACCAGGAGCGGTAAGATCATATCTGCTGATCCTGTCCCGGCCAGACAGGAGGAACCACTGCCTGCTTCAGCACTTCCAGCCGACGATGCAGAAGTGCGGGTGGAGGAAGAAGCCCCTGCTCCCAAGCCACAACCAGTGGTTAAGGAGCATGTACCCCAGCTTCCCTTCCCCACTCGCCTACACAAGAACTCACTGAGTAGTCAGCAAATCTAGGACCCGGGTTGACATATAAATCTAAACCCGCTATACTACGCTTTAGGGAGTGGTTGCACTTGGCCAATTCCTAGGGTGACAGTAGAAGGACAAGCTGGAGACTGAGTTTGCCAAGTTCATGGCAATGTTGAAGCAGCTCAACATCAGCATACCGTTCATGGAGGCACTGTCGAAGATGCCCAAGTATGCCAAGTTCATGAAAGATATATGCACCAACAAGAAGAAACTTGGGGATCTCTCGACAGTGATGCTGAGCGAGGAGTGTTCTGCTATCCTGCAGAACAAGCTGCCCGAGAAGCGCAAGGATCCAGGGAGTTTTACTATCCCTCTTACTATTGGCAGCATGCATGTAGGAAAGTCCTTGGCGGACCTAGGCGCTAGCATTAACGTCATGCCATATAAGTTGTATAAAATGCTAGACCTAGGTGAACTTAGCCCTACTAGGATGAGCATTCAGTTAGCTGATCGTTCTATCGTGCATCCTAAGGGTATCATTGAGGATCTGCTTGTTAAAGTAGGTACATTCACATATCCTGTTGATTTTGTTATTCTTGATGTGCATGAGGATGTGGATGTGCCTTTGATACTAGGTAGGCCATTTCTTGCCACCGCCAAGGCACTAATTGATGTGCATGATGGTAAACTGATACTGCGTGCTGGGGATGAACAGGCTACTTTTTCTGTGACTGAGTTTGATCACTGTGCTATGATTGATGTCACGCCTGTGCATGCTATGTCTGATCAGGTACACGAGCCTGTCGTGTATCCTTCTGCACCTCCTATTTTGCAGGACCCTCCTATCATTCCTTCGCCGCCACTCCATCCAGCCACGCCTCCGAACAAAAAGCTCAAGGAGGAGTGGCGGCCGAAGCAACAGGTTGCTAAGCCTGCACGGAAGAAGAGTGGAGACCACTATGAGGTGGTCCCACCTCCTGCACCACGACCACCCTGGCCGTCTGGGTACTCGCTCTCCTGCATCTTGCCAGATGGGCAGGTCGAGCTGACTGATGAGGGTGGTCGCATCCGTCGGGTGCATGGCCACAACCTGAAGCTGTACCTCAAGAGCGACGTGGATCCGCTCTTGGAGGCACCTGTTCCTGCACCGCCCTGAGTATCCGCCATGGGCGTCCAGCTAATACGACGGTAAAGAAGCGCTTGTGGGGAGGCAACCCCACCACGGTTTGATTTTCTTTCTTGTGTTTTGAGTCGGATTGTAACCCAGTTTGGGTTTGGTTTGTTTTTCTTTTGGTTTGGATGATGTTTTATTGGGCTGACCATTGGACCTAACATACTGTGTTGAGCTCTTTGGTTTCCTCTCGCTGTGCGTGTCTTGACTGGTCCCCTCTCCAGTCCGCTTCACTCGACTGGCCCGTTTCCAGTCTCCTGCAGTCCATGCATACCGGTAACATCATTTCCCTTATCCTTCCCTCTTCTCCATTGAGGGCAATGTCGATCTTAAGTGTGGGGGGATGTTTATCTTTTGACTGCATTAGATCTGTTTGTGTGCTTGGAGCCTAGTCCACTGTCCAAATTTTTAAATTTGAGGGCTCCAAGTACGTGTTTCCTTGCAATTGCCTGCTCAGTATGCTTTGAATTGACAGTTTTTATAGTAATATGCAACCTAGGGAGGTAGTGTAGCACTATGGAGGATGTTGATGCATTTAAGGAGTCTCATTTCTTCTTCATATTGAGTTGGTTGATTGAGTGAATTAGTGATCTTAGGACCCTTGAATTGTGTGGTGTTGTGGATTCTCTGCCTGTCATGGACTCTTGTATCATGTTTTGAAAATAACAGGTGCTCGAAAATGTGCTTCAAAATAAACGTCTCCCGTGCGAATAGGGAGCAAGTGTGTAAGGGGAGACGGGAATTCGTTCCCAATTTCCACCTACTACCTCCAGCCCCCTTACATGTCTTTCCCCCGCACGAGGCTCGAGACATTCGCTCCTGGCATGGCCGGTAAGAGCAGGTTGGGACCCTTGAAAAAGAAAAGAAAAGAAAAACAACAGAAAACAAGCAAAATAGAAAAAAGGGGTTCCAACCATCTTTAAGCAGAAAATAGAGCACCTTGAAAAATGTGAGTCCATGATCTTTTGTTTTTGAGAATCTCTTCATCCACGATTCATTTGTCCTCTGTTCACTGTTTGCCATGATGCGACTCGCCGAAGAAGTTATGAGATGACTTGTGCGTCGGTTGACCTCGTAAGCTGCTAAATGATCTAGGAAGTCCTCTACCTACGATCTGGGTTGTTTGTTGCTATAGAGGTCTGGAGAGTTGCATTGGTTTGAGTTAGGTTTGCTTGGGGACAAGCAAACGGTTAAGTGTGGGGGAGTTTGATAGACCGTTAATTACACATGTTTTTACCCCTGTTCTTACACCGTTTGAGATGTGATTTCTCGTGGTTTAGACCGATTTCACGCTAGGTTGTGCTTGTTTGTGATGTTTCAGGTCCTAGTACGTGAATGAAGGCTTAGGAGCGAGTCTGGGGTCGATTGGACGAAGAACGGACAAATAGCGAGGTTTCTGGGGAGCTGCACGGGCAGACCAGGGAGGCTGCACGGCCGTGCACGTGAGCAATATGGCCGTGCGCCTTATGCCGAGGACACGCACGGGCAACCCCTGAAGCTCGCACGGCCGTGCACCATGGCCGTGCGAGAGGGCTGAAGTTCGACTAAATGACACGCTGCGTTTTGAGTTGCACGGCCAGAATGGTGATATGCACGGCCGTGCACCCTGGCCGTGCGAGTCGGGATTTCCTGGTTTTAAGCCAAATTCCGAACCAAAGAAGGGGGATTGGAGTTTTTTGAGAGAGAGATCAGTTCCTAGAGAGAGAAAGTGACGAGCAAGAGTTCCCAAGTGCCCTAGATTGATCTTCAACACCATTGGAGGCCAGCTTGAGCTTGGAGAAGTACCGATCAACGTCCAGAAGCAGGAATCCATCCTTCGCAGTATGAATTCCGTGTCTGATTCTGCTTTTGCTTTCTTCTCTATGGAGTAGTTCTCCCATTCATCTGGGTATGGAGAACCCTAGATTTGTATGTTAGGCTTTGATTGTATGAACCCAAGTACTGATTCTATGATTTGATTATATTCGATTGAGGTTTGAATGATTGAATGACTTGAATCCTGATCAAATTCCTGTTGTTTCTGCTTTGACCTAGAATGAGAATATCTGCCTAGGTTGATAGAGCATCCTTGATTGAAGGTAGGGAGTTGGTGACTTTAGTCGAGGAGCCAACTCACTATTCTGTACCGGATTTACTCCGGTAGTGGAGGTTTTGTTTGTTAAGGCCTCAATCTGTTTACTCCGGTGGAGGTTAGTCGCCCGCTAGAGACTCAGATTGAGAGGGTCTGAAGACCTTTAGTCGAGACTTCAGGCTGTTTAAGAACCTTCCGCAGTATAACTATCATAGAAACTGAACTTGGTAATTACAATCCGGCTTAACTGCAGTCTAGGGGGAACCATATCCGGGTGACCTCTCTTAACCTAATACAACAGTTTACTTGCTTTGTTAGTTTGTTAGTTTAAACCTGCATTAAAGTTTCATTGCTAGATAACAAGAATTCACTGAGTAGTCATCAAATCTAGGACCCGGGTTGATAATTAAACCCAAACCCGCTATACTACGCTTTAGGAAGTGGTTTCACTTGGCCAATTCCTGGAGTGACAGTAGAGTCGAGTCAGAACCCCCTTGGCATATCACTAGGTCCGAGTCGAGCCACTACCAGTGCCTTCACTGCAGTCATCCCCGCGTCGTTGCCAGCTTTTGCTGGTACGCCTCCTGAACTGCTACTGCGGCGTCGCTACTCCCTTCTCCACTAGGCCTCTGGTAAAGGCCTATGGTGCTCCTCCAGCTTGCTATCTCCTCTTCCTTGAGACCTGCTAGTGTAAAGGAGGTTCATAGTGAATCAGGCTCGAATAACTTAATCGCGGCCGCCATCTCGTGTCGGAGTCATGTCATACATAATCCCACCAGGGTCTCCTTGGGCACACCCTTGCACTGGGTGCCCAACCTAAGGGACTAAGCTCTGTACTCGGCCACCGTCCTCGTTTGTCGTAGCTTAGCTAGTTGCTCTGGTGACCAGTCCTTTGACTTATCAAACTGATAACGTAGCTCTTTTTGAAATCTCAGTCATGTAATCATGGTCTCACCCTTAACATAGTACCTCCCCAACCACTCCCACCATTGAATAGCATCCCCTTCCAAGTAGAAGGATGCTAGATGCATGTTCTGCTCTTTCCTCGTTAAGTGGTTCTAGAACCACATGTCAGCTGCATACAACCACAAATATACATTCTCCAGACCATTGATGTTTGGAAATTCAATGGTTGGGGGTTTGACCCTAAACACAAGGTCATCATCTCCATCATAGCTATGGTGATACCCACCATACCTGCTAATGCTGGAATCCCACCACGGTAGTCTAGAGGAATCTGTGGGTCCCTATTTTGGCCCCATTCTTCCTCATCATCCTCTTGGTAGCTCGCATACCCACCTAGTCCAGCCTGAGGTCCTTGCCCTGCATCCAACATCTTGTCTGATTAATGTCCTGTAACCCGAGAAGTCGTGAAAGGAGGGTAGGGTGTATCCACGTCTCCTCGTGGCCATCTCCAGCTCACGGACCCCTTGTTTCCCGCCCATGTGAATGTTAGTCGATTCGGTTCAGGCCGAACTTGATTTGACCGGTATATGTTTGACTGGTTCTGAGTCGACCTTCCTAGTTGCTTTGCCCAAGCCCGATGGGTGTCTTGCTTGACCCAAGCTCGCGATTGATCCACCAAGCTCACTTCATCTTCCTCTTGAGCTCTGTTGAGGAACAACCACCCTAGCCCATTTTGGATCCCCATGCGCCCAGAATCCTCTTCCCAGGCAATCTGATGAGGGCATCAAAGGGCCAATCACACGAGCTAAGGCAAAGGCAATGAGAGACAAGTTTGCAACTTATTTGGGCTGTTACTTTGTAAGCATGGACGTAGAGCAATTCAAAGGACGGTTTATTTTGGTGTTGCACGTTGTGGAAGAAGAAGGAAGTGTTGAAGATGGAGCAGATTGCATGGAGAAGAAACGAGGAAGTGTTTAGGATGGAAAAGTTTACTTTTGAGAAGTATAAACTCGACCAGACTTTGTTGTTTTTGTTGAAAGTCGGTTTACTTTGGTTTTTCCTTATTATGTTTGGATTTTGTTGTTTGAGGCCTATTTAAAGGGCTGAACACGTTTGTTTTGAAGTTAGACAGTTATTATTGTTCCTTTTAGAACTTTTTCCCTAATTACTCTATTGTGGATTCTGGAGTTTTAGAAAGCACTCTTATCAATTAGGTATTCACCCTAATTGTGGCACGCTACCTTATACCACTTTCTCCTTTTCACGAGTGGGTTCTGACCAATTGGTTCAACTTATCATTGCTATTTGGGTTCGAGTGATTGAAGTTGCGTAACTGTGATTATATAAAGTGGTATCAGAGCCCGGTTCAAACTCAGTGGCGGATTTTATGTGTTCTTGAAGGCACTTGAGGATTTCTTGTTCGTTCTTAGAAATCTTGTGCATGGTCTTGAGATTCTTGGGCGATTGTTTGGAGTTCTTGGAGAGTTATTGTGTTTCTTGTGCCGCAAGAAGAAGCTTAGCATTCTTGGCGTGTTCTTGAAGCAATATTGGTCTGTTTGTTCGAGTTCTTTGAGGGATTTTTGTTTTCTTGAGTCACAAGCATGGAATAAGCATTGCAAGCGATCACGTCTCAATTGGAAGCAATTGCTCGAAATCAAGCTGAGCAAGCAACCAGAACGAAGGCTGTTGAAACTCGGCTTCAGCAACCACAAGCTCCCGTTGCAGAAAACCCTAACCCTATGGCTCGGCTAGAGGAAGGAAGGGAAAAGGAGGAACGAGCACCACCTCTTTTGTTCGATGAAGTTCTGCAATGTTTTTGACAACATCGACGTATAGGAATCCTCTCAAATTCTCGCCGAAAATCATTCTCCCATAAGGTTTTCCAACGATTTGATCTATTTCTGGGCGTTGCTAAAATTATATTAGAACATGTCTTTTCCCATCATTTCTTGATCGTTTGAGCTCGCTTTCTCGCTCTCATGGCCTATTTTACTATAGGTTGTATTGGTTTATCATGTTTCATGTCCTAGTACGTGAAAAGGCGCGAAAAGAGTGAGTTTTGGGACGTTTTGGAGTGATTGGGCAGAGAGCAGGGAAAAGTTACGACCAGACCTAAAATTTATGGTATGGACCGTAACTTCCCAAAGAGTCTGTAACTTCTAGGGAAGCGGGGCCCTCCTCAAAGTTACGGTCTCAACCGTCACTTCTCTAAAGGAGTTGTAAATCTTGGTTTACGAAGCACAGCGACGATGACATTTTGGGAGAAGTTATGGGCTGTAAGAGGGAGTTACGGCCATAACTTTGGCCGTAACTTGTGAATCTCCAGCAAATTAAAGGGGTGCTCGGGAAAATTGCAAAGGATCCGGATTTTTGGAGTTCTAAAGGCAAAAAGAGAACCCTAAGGAGAGAAAGTGACGAAGAACAACCCTTTGGCAAGGATTGGAGCAATCTGAAGACCTCGGAGCTCGATTCCTCACTCTCGGAGTATCAATTAGCCGTTTGGAATAGATTTTCATTGTCCACATGATGATTTCTCCTCCTAGCATGATGTTTCCTCTTCTCTCCATGGAGTAAACTCCCTTTTCATCTGGGTATGAAGAACCCTAGTTTTTTATGTTAGAAATGGTTGTATGAACCCCGTTTGCGAATGATTGATTCGATATATTCAATTGAGGCATTAATCGGAATTGCATGAGTCTTGATCAAACTTTTGTGATTTCTGCTTTAACCTAGAACAATAGTCTCTACACAGGTTAAAAGAACAACCTTAAATTGGAAACGATGAATCAATTGCTTTAGTTGAGAAATCGATTCACTTCTCTGTAGTGGGATTAAAGTTAGTAGAGGAAGTTTGACGTGTTATTGCCTTGGTTAGTTTATGCCGGTAGAGGTAAGTTGCCAGCCGAGTAATCGAACTGAGAGGGTCTAGATTACTTTAGTCGAGATTCCAGACTAGTAAAGACCTTCCCGCGGTATATCTATCAATCATAGTAAAATAGGGATCGTATAATCTGAACTAGCTGCATACTAGGGGGAATCAAACTTGGTTGACCTTTAGCATACTTGAAAAACCGGAACATTTCTTGCTTTCTATTTATTTTGCAATTGAACAACTCACACACTTAGTTTGCTTGATAATAGAAGTTTACGGAGTAGGCAGTAGATCTAGACCCCGGGTTGATATTAAAACTGAACCACTATTATGCATTTCCATCCTACAATTCCACTTGGTCGTAGTTTGGTGTTGTGTCGTAGCGAGTCAAGATTTTGGTGCCAATGCTGGCGACCGTCTTGGTTATTGTAGAAACGTGAACATCTGTTACTTTAGCATTTACTTTTCATTACTTTCTCTCCTCCACCTGTTTGCCGTCATGGGTTGTGTTTTCTGTCTGTGTGCATGTAGATGTAGTGTATGACCCGTAGCCAGTCGGGAGTACTACTGCCATTAGACCAAGAGCTTGAAAGCACCTATCACAACTTCAAGAGAGCTTTACATGCGCGACTGGCTGCGGAAGAGGCTTTCGCTCAACTAAACATCAACTAGGATGAAGAAATGGGTGAACCCAATGCTGACAGGGCGGTTGTTCCCGAGGAGCATACCATGGGATACTACTGGACCGCTAGGGCCGCAGACATGAGGTCCCCCACCCAGAAAAGATCTATGATGATTACATAGGAAGTTCATCGATTGTGGTGGCAAGGGAACATCGACTCCGTCTCCGATTGTCTTGGAGGCGGAGGATGGTTCAGCGACCGCTCTTTGCTTGGTGGTTTGGGTTTTTGATGGCAAATGGTCGGGGACAGAGAACGGAGAGGCCGAGGGTTTTTTATTTTCAGATTATTTTTATAGAAATTAATGATTTTTAATTAAAAGTCTGACGTGGCATTAACGTGTCAGCTAGGCTTTCGCTCAACTGAGCAGGTTCAGTCTCAGGCGGCCTTCCAGACATCTCAGTGGGCATATGAGCAGCAGTGACGAGAGGGTGCACCAGATGAGCAGGTTCAGTCTCAGGTGGATGATATGTTCGGCACACAGGATCGGGATGATGGGGCGGAGAGAGATGATCAGTTGCCTCCACGAGACAGGAGGCCAGCAAGGTGTGGTACTGGCTACCATCTAGTGGCAGAGCACGGTGGTCACCGTGGTGGTCGATGTGGTGGTCGTGGGGGTCGTTAGTGTATTTATGTAACTCTCTGAGATATTTATTATTATTATTATTATTATTTTGTTCTTTGTTACTATGTATTATTATTATTATGTACTTCTTTGAGACTATTTATTATTATGTACTTCTTTGAGACTATTCAATGGTTGCGGTCAAGGAAATCAACGAAGAAGGAGAGGCACTACACTTGGGAACGCTTGGGATTCATGGATAGGGGCTCCAATTTGGAAAGGTACTAAGCTTGGGATTCATGGACACGGGCTCCAATTTGGAAGCTATAGATGTATTAGGAGGGCTTCAGCTGCGAGAGGAAAAGTGACAGAGAAGTGAATGAGTGGCCAACTATATGACTCAGCAAGTATGTTGAGTTGGAATGCCACGTGGATTGAAAAAATGCAAATTGGTACCCACTATTAATTTTTGTGACGGAAAAGGTAACGATACAACTAATAACTGAGTTATGTGGTTTAGTTGCAACTAAAAAGAGTTAAGTGGTCAGTATGCAACCAAAGGAATACTTATACGATATGTGGTGCATTTAACCCCATACCCCGACAAAGCCCTAGTTTGGGGAGCCGCCGCTTTCACTTTTTTTAAAGACCAAATGCCCCAGTCTCGGGCGCCACCGCTGAATTTTATTGAAAAAACAGCACCTAGCGACCGCGCCCGAGTCTAAGACTTTAGCGCTTTAAACATACCAAAATAAACAATATTCTTGTAAATAATTTTTAAACCACTATATTCATGGTAAATTAAAAAAAAAGCTACCCATACATACGCAGGAAAAAAAAAAAAGCAAAAGGCCACCGTGGCAGTAAGCAACAAGAAGGATTATGAGAATGGAGCTCAAAAACAGGCGATTGGTCCGAAATCTATCCACCGCATCTCCAAACCAGATTTCGTCATCCCACTTGGCTGCCTTCCTATCCACCTTTAAGATTCTCCTTCTTTTCTCCCTCCATCTGTCATTATATCCCACCCATAAGTCCGTCCATCTCAAGTCTCAACAGAAACTAAGGAAAAAGGAAAGAAAGAAAGAAAGGGAAAACAGAGTAACCCAGAAGTCGAGCGAGCGAGCATCAGGGCCGTGTCTCGTCTGCAACTTCCTTCCTCCCAATTTCACACAACCATCCAATCTTATCCCTATGGCTGCAGCAGCTACTTCGGGGGGAACGGTGCTGAACGGGACCCTGGGATCTTCCTTCCTCTCCGGAAGCAAGAAGACCCAATCCTTGTTTGCTGCCGCTTCCAGAATCGGAAACAGTATTGGCGGAAGGAAGTTGGTCATTGTATCCGCCGCTAAGAAATCTTGGATCCCCGCCGTTAAAGGCGGCGGCAACCTAGTCGACCCCGAATGGCTCGATGGCTCGTAAGTTCCTGCAATCTCTCTGCTCTGCTTCAATTCGAATGCCAATTTAACCAATTAATTGAATTTGTACGTAATTGCAGGCTGCCGGGCGACTATGGGTTCGACCCGCTGGGGCTGGGGAAGGACCCGGCGTTCCTGAAGTGGTACAGGGAGGCGGAGCTGATCCACGGGCGGTGGGCGATGGCGGCGGTGGTGGGGATCTTCGTGGGGCAGGCGTGGAGCGGGATCCCGTGGTTCGAGGCCGGGGCGGCGCCCGGCGCGGTGGCGCCCTTCTCGTTCGGGACGCTGCTGGGGACCCAATTGCTGCTGATGGGGTGGGTGGAGAGCAAGCGGTGGGTGGATTTCTTCAACCCGGACTCGCAGGCGGTGGAGTGGGCGACGCCCTGGTCGAGGACGGCGGAGAACTTCGCCAACGCCACCGGGGAGCAGGGTTACCCGGGCGGCAAGTTCTTCGACCCGTTGGGCTTCGCGGGGACGCTCAGCGACGGCGTCTACGTGGCGGACGCGGAGAAGCTGGAGAGACTGAAGGTGGCGGAGATTAAGCACGCCAGGCTTGCGATGATCGCCATGCTCATTTTTTACTTCGAGGCTGGCCAGGGGAAAACCCCTCTCGCCGCTCTTGGCCTTTAGATAGAGTTTGTTGTCCCCCATTCTTCCTTCCTCTGTTCGTCCTTTTGGCTGTAGATAAATCTGATGGTTAATCAAAATTTTAGCGGGCGGTTCAAATTAATTCGTCACTCACTGTGGCACTAATGACGAATACTAATAGAATACTGCCTGTGCCCTTGTGAACGCCAAGAGGAACAGGAACGGATCTTAATCTGAATTGTTGCAGGCATTCGTACTTACTTTACAGGATGTTACGATTGAATTACAAGCTACCAAAGAAACCAAAACCCTCCAACAAAGAATGCACAGATCATGTCTCTCTCCTCTCTTTCTCTAACGGAAGTTTCCTCTGAACCGAATAACGGCTCTATTTCCGTCCCCGTCGTTGGGACTTCTCCAGCTCGCTCTGTGAGCGCCATTTACAATCCCCAACCACCCAGCAAAGATTGCAGGATCTATTGGAAAAGATAGAGGGAGGTAGTCGGAACAAATCACCAACAGGAGATGCCCACATGGAGATTGGACAAGGCAGGGGAAGATCTGCAAAAGAAAGAAATGTAAAAGGGATATGGAAACCACCAGACTATTCAATATCAGTCTTCCAATGTCAGAGATGGAAGAAGAGAAGAGGAGAATGAAGGAATAGAGGAGCTAAGGGATGCTACCCAGGAATAGCCATAAGCAATAAATGGAAGAGAGGCGAGTACCTTGAGCCAAGTGCAGCCGAGACAGAGATGGAAAAGCAGAACAGAGGAAGAATATGTCAACAGAGGGATAATGAAAGCTTTGACAAGATACACAACCACCACCAACTGGGAGAAAGTAAACTCTACCTTCATGAAGAAGGATTTAAAGAGAGCGAGAGGGGAATACAAGAGAGCTCCCAAAACAAAAGCTGGCTACCCCTCTACAAACCTTCTGGCCTCCCCTGCAAACACCACCAAAAACCTAGCTGATCCCTTCCGGGTCTCCCCTGCAAACACCAAAAACTCTAAAGCCCAAGTTAACCCCCCTCAAACACCATGGAAATCAGCAATAGCAAAGCCCCAAGTAGAGCTAGAGATGAGATTGGAACTACCTTGTCATCCCCAAGAAACAGAGGCGAGCGTCCAATCCTCTCATCCAACGGAGGCAGAGGCATCTCAATGATGATGGGGAAGATGCTCACCGAGAACAGAGTTGCTTTGGCTAAGGCGGCAGGGGCGGCACGGTACGCTTGGGGGGGATATGGAGAGGTGAACGTACAACCAACGGAGACCCAGAACCTATTCATCTTCACCTTCAATAATGAGGCAATTATGGAGAAGATATGGAGGGACCGACCATGGAGCCTATCAAATACTCTAACGGCTGTCGAAAAATACAACGAAAGAGGTAAACCAGAAGAAACTCCCATAGAGAAGGTAGCCATGTGGGTGCAGATTCATGGTATTCACCAAAATCAGAGGAGCAAGGAGAACATGGTTGCGATAGGTACTCATTACTTCCCAGGGATGCTCGACCTGGATAGAGCGAGCTTGGAATTTACAGGATACAGGAAGTTTCTGAGGATTCTTGTGGAGGTCAACATTGAAGAACCAATTCTGACCGGTTTTGACTTCCCATTCACAGATGAAATCACGGGAAAGGATTACTGCGATGTAATCGATTTCAAGTATGAGAGGTTGGTGGAATTGTGCTATTTCTGTGGAAGAGTAGGCCACAACTGGCCGACTTGCTGGAGGATGAACGAAGAAAGGAAGAGGAATGGAGCGGCTTACCTGTCTGAGGTATACAATTCCTCTCTCAAGGCGGTAATTGATTCTCCTCAGAGGCACCATTCGGCCAACTACAGAAGCAGTAGGGAGGGGGATGGCTCAAAAAGCTATCTGACAGGAAGAGAGAGCGTGAGGTCGGGAAGCCAGAGCAGATCAGAAGGGGTAGAGGGAAGAGCTTCGTCGGGTTCGGAAGGCAGGTTCTCTGAAGGGAATCTTTAGATCCCTCCAGGTTTTACTGTGAGAAGGCTGGAGGAGGAGGTTCAAGGAGAGGAGGAGCAAATCGCGCAGGGGAGATGGAGAGGGAGGTACATGGAAGAGATGGGGGCGACGAATTTGAACGTGGAGATGGATAGGGCGGCGTCGGCGGCGATGGAGGCAGGGCTTCAATTAGAAGAGGGGAGAAGCGCTCAGGAAATGGGGCGGATTCCAGTGGCTGTGGAGACCACGTTGTCTCTTGGGCCAACCCAAGCAATCACCCCAGCCCACCTGTCTGTCCAAGAAGGCTCATATGAAATAGCTGAGTATCAGCATGTACAAGATGAAAGGGAAGGGGAGATGGGCCGAAAGCAAAAGAAAATGAAGGGTATGGGCCTAGTGGGTGGTAACAGGTCCATCGGCGATTTAAGGGAGGGAGAAGCTATGTTTGATGGGCCAGATGGTGTGTTTGAAATGGGTGGGCCGGGAGAAGTATCCAAAAGAAAGAATCTGAAGTTTAAGCCCGTGAGCCATAATACCGACAAAGGGAATCAGTCAGAAAGCGAGCAAGAGGGCCGAGGAAAGAAGAAAAAGGCAGCGGTGGTTCGCCAGAAGCCACCTCATCAAGAATGAGTATGGTAAGTTGGAATTGTAGGGGTTTTGGCCCAACCCCTACAAGGAGTTATGCAAAACGTCTGTGTAGACGTTTAGGCCCTTCGATTGTTTTCCTCATGGAAGCGAGCAAAAATGAGGCATTCATGGAGGACCAAAGAAGAAGTCTCAGAATTTTCCCTAACAAAGAGTATGAGGAACCGGTTAACTCTTCAAGGGGCTTTGCGCTATGGTGGAAAGCGGGTATTAACATTAATATTTTAAGTAGTGATAGCTATTATATGGATTGTAGTATCGATATGGGTAGGAAGTTCTTCTGTACTTTTGTTCATGCACCCTCTACCGCTGTTACTAGAAGGGGATTTTGGGAGCATCTAAGCTCTCTTCGGAGTAGTAGGGAGGATAACTGGGTTATTGTAGGAGACTTCAACGCTGCTATCTATGAAAGTGAGAAGGAGGGGAGATGCCCTCTTAGGTACGAGAATGTTGAACCTTTTAAAAGGTTTATTTTCGACAATGCTCTTATAGATATAGGGTTTAAAGGAGAACCCTTCACTTGGACCAATAAGCGTACCGGTGAAAATACAACGAGAGTCCGACTTGATCGAGTGTTGTGCTCGACTTCATGGCGTGTCCTATTCGGGGATGCAACCGTTTTCCATGAAAAGATGGTTGAGTTGGATCATTGCCCAATCATGCTGGAGCTCTGTTATAGAGGGAATAGGAGAAGAAAGACACCCTTCAGAGTAGATGAAAGATGGTTGGAGAAGGATGAATGCAAGGAGATAGTGGTCCGAGCTTGGGATCCAGGAGGGCAATCGTCAAACCAGCTAGCCAAATGCGAACAAGATCTTAAGGAGTGGTCAAAAGACTTTCACAGGAACAGTCTACAAAGGGAGAAGGATATACTGGACCGACTTGATATTCTCTAACGGCCTCCAAAAACCCAGGAAAGGGTGGAGGAAGAAAAAAAGTCTCATTGAGGAACTGTCTAAGATGTGGAGGGAGGAGGAGGCGTTTTGGAATCAGTGCTCAAGAGTTAAGTGGCTGCAGAAAGGTGATCAGAATAACTCCTTTTTTCATTGTAGCACGATCCATAGAAAGCATATGAATAGAATTCTTAGACTTAAGGATGAGAGAGGCGATTGGGTCGAGGAAGAAGATAGGCTAAAAGGGTTGGCCCATGATTTCCACAAAGACCTCTTTAGAGCTAGAGACCAGATTCCCTTTACCCACCTTCTGGATGGCTTCCCAGAAAAGGTTACGGAGGAGATGAATACTGCTCTTTGTGCCCCAATATCAAGTGAGGAAATCAGGAAAGCAGTATTCTCATTAGGAGCAAAAAAGGCTCCACGTCCAGATGGTTTCTCGGGTAGATTCTACCGAAGATTCTGGGATATTATTGGGGAAACGGTTTGTAGAGAGGTTAAGGAGTTTTTTGAGACAAGTACAATGCCGAATGGATGGAATGATACACATATATTCATGATTCCTAAAGTGGACCACCCAGAATTGATAAGCCAGTTTCGACCTATTAGTTGCTGCAATTTTAGATATAAAATTATATCGAAGATTATGGCAACCCGATTGAAGATCTGGACGCCTGATCTGATCTTGGAGCTCCAAACAGCTTTCACCGGAGGCCGACTTATCCAAGACAATGTCATTATTGTCCATGAGGCCCTCCATCATTTCAAAAACCACAAGCGAGGAAGGAGAAGGGACATGATGCCCAATTTGGACATGAAGAAGGCATATGATATGGTGGACTGGGATTGTCTCGAAACTCTGCTGAAGAACTATGGGTTTGATGACAGATGGTGTAGATGGGTAAGCTCTTGCATCAGGATGGTCAACTTCTCCATCCTCTTCAATGGTGAAGCAGCAGAGGAGTTCAAACCATCAAGGGGAATTAGACAGGGAGACCCTCTCTCTCCCTTCCTTTTCATTTTGATGTCTAATGCTCTTACTTTTCTGATTGATAAAGCTGTTTCCCAGAATTAGTTAAAAGGAATAAGGTTGAACGTGAGATGCCCGATCCTCACTCACTCCCTGTTTGCGGATGATACAGTGATCTTCGGAAAGGCTGATCTACAAGAAGCAGAGAAAATTGTGGATATGATAAGAGAGTATGGAGCCATCACGGGACAAGAAGTGGATATCAACAAATCATCGGTTTTCTTCAGTGCGAATGTACCCGATGTGGACAAAGGTGCGATCATTGGTCATATCGGGTTTACCTCTCCTAACTGCCACTCCAAGTACTTAGGAGTACCGACGGAATGAGGGAATTCAAAGAAGGAAGCTTTCCAATTCCTGATCCAGAGAATGGAGAAGATGGGCGAAGCATGGAAAAGCCTCATCCTTTCTCATGTTGGGAAAGAAGTGTTGCTTAAAGCTGTCATCCAAGTCATTCCTTCCTACATCATGTACCTATTTTAACTCCCGGTGAATCTGACCAAGAAGATGGATTCCCTCCTCACCAATTTTTCTGGTCGGGGTCAATGCAGAAAAGCACAATGCACTGGTGTAGGAAGGAAATCTTTTGTGCTCCAAAAGCAGAAGGGGGACTGGGTTTCAGAAGCTTCAAAGATTTTAACATGGCTTTGTTAGCAAAACAAGCGTGGAGAATCATTAATTCCCCTGATGCCTTGTGGTGTCGGCTCCTGAAGGGTATGTATTTCCCGAGAGATGGATTCCTGCAATCGAAAAAAGGAAGTAGATCCTCTTGGATTTGGGCAAGTCTGTGGGAGGCAAAAAAGGTTATCAACATGAGAGCAATTAGAGTTATCGGTTCATGAGAGGATACTTGGATTGGGCAAGATCCATGGATTCTGAACTTGCAAAATTTTTTCATCGGAAGCGGCTCCCAACAGAACCTGAGGGTAAAGGAATGGATTGACCCAGTTAGCAGGAGCTAGAACACGAAGCTGCTCCAAGGTCATGTGACGAGAGAAAAAGTGGAGGCTATTCTCAAAATCCCAATTGGGGAGGAGGGATCTGATGATTTCTGGGCTTGGAGTCTCACCCGTGAGGGAGAGTTCTCGGTCAAGACAGCCTACCATGCTGTTCATAAAGCCAACACAAATTTCCATTCGACAGGAAGTGAAGGGAAGTGGAAATGGATTTGGGGACTGAATATTCCACCTAAGCTTAAATTCTTTCTATGGAGATGCTCCAGAAACGGGTTGGCAACAAAAGAAAGACTCTTCCAACGTAAATGTGCTCCGAACCCGAATTGCCAAGTGTGCCACAACCCTATCGAGTCCCTTAATGACTGCCTTTTCTACTGCCCTCATGCCAGTGATTCGTGGAATAGTACTTTCCCATCCCTTCCGTTTCCTCCTCAGGGCACCTCTTTTTTCGATTGGTTCTGCTCCCTCAAAGATACCATCCCTAAAAACTCCCTAATTCATATTATCTACCTCTGTTGGAACATTTGGAAGGCAAGGAACGAGAGCACCTTCAAGAATCGGGCACCCTGGCCCCCAAACGTGTGTCTGCAAACCTATAGAGAGCGTACAGAATGGATTGCTTGCCCGAGGCCCCCACCTCAAGGTTGTGATTGTCCCACTCAGCTCAGGGGATCCCATCCTGCTACGAATCTACCGCCAAGTAATCACTCGATAGTGATTCAATGTGATGGGTCGTTTTTTAGCGACCCCCAGTCGGCGGCATATGGTGTTGTTGTCGTTAACCACCATGGACAAGTGTGTGATGGGTGAGCTAATAATCTTCTCTGTTCCACCCCGATTGAAGCAGAAGCAAAGGCTCTTTTGGAAGGAATTAAATTAGCACAAGAATATGGATCAGTGTGTACAATTCAATCAGACTGTCAATTGCTGGTAAAGGCCCTGAACCATAATCAGTCTCGATGGCCCTAGATATGTGCAGCATGGATTGGAAGAATGGTCAATATCCTTAGAACTAACCCAGCTATTTCGGTGAAAGAGGTTCCGAGGGCTTTGAACGTCAGAGCTGATTGGGTAGCACGATCAAAAGCTAAATCAATTCTACCAGATGACTGGATTAATATTCTTGATCTAATATCTGTTCTCCTCTAAAAATGTAACGGCTTATGCTTGTTTTTTCGTTTGTGGAATAATAGTTGATACTATTTGTCAAAAAAAAAAAAAAAGAATGCACAGATCATGTTCGGATTACTTGGCTCGGTTTTTAATCGAGGGATTTAAGTGGATCTAGAAAATCCAAATTTAAAGACGGTGAATTAAAAATATTTTATTTTCACTAGTTTTCTTAATCGGTTATTTTCGTGTTCGTTCGAAAGCAGATTTCAATCTTCATTTTTACATAGGGAACGAGTTCGTTGTGCTCTACAAAATAAGATTAATTTTTAATATTTTTTTAGAAATGTTTTTTCATACCTCTCGTTATTAACTTCGTACCATATGATATCTCCTTCGTTATAAAGTCATTTAAAAAATATTTGCACCGAAAGAATGAGTTCATCATGATCTATTGGCTCTACAAATTTCTGGGTGAAAAAAGTACAAGACCAAAAAAATACTATACTATACCACCTTGGTATGGGGGTGGTAACTTGTGGACGTACACAATGATGAAAGTCGTAAATGATAGTTAGTGTACTCTTACTATCATGTATTCAACCATCCTACCAGTCTTGGTCTGTTCATACCACCATGGTACACTGTCGTAGCATATTGTATGCTCTTATTTAATGCCTGCCAATACCATATGGTATAAACCCATAAAAAAGGCCTCAATTTTTTTTTTGTTCTAAAATTATATAAAAATATATAAAATTTTACAGAGCACAATTAATGTGATTTATCTGTGCAAAATAAATTTAATTCCGACTTAAAACGAGGGAAAAACCGTCTGTTAAAGATTAAAGGTTTTCCATAAGAGAGAGGATGTTGATGTCACGCTGATGTGACATGTTACTCACCATTACTGACTCTAAGGTTACTGACCTGATTTGGACCCAGATTACAGCTATACATCTGAATTCTGATACACGGGAAGACAAAAAAAATACC